GACTTGCCACCATCCCCGAAGAGTCCTTCCACGTCCATTTCGGAAAGGTCGAAAGGAAAAAGACAGCGCTCTTGCAGTGCTACTGCTCCCTTTATAAGCTTTCTTGCCATCAGGTGTTTAGATTCTCGGCAATGTTGATTCAAGCTTCTTTGGTATTTCTTGTGAGACACCGCAGTCCTAGTAGCCCAGTGGGAGCCCCGCGAGGCATGTTTCTTCGAAGGCAATGTATCTCAAACAGCAACGTCAAAGGGCTTGCAGCTGGCTCACAGCAGGGTATCGCACACACATATCCTTTTTCTTGTGTTCAAACATCTTGGCATTTTGCTATCTATATAGCTGTCTGTAGCTGTGCTTTGTTGATCCAGAAAATGCTGAAATTCTCGAGTCAACGATCTCCGACAGTGAATCTCTGAATGAAAACAATGTGACTCACATGCGATCATGTTGGACCAGCACGCTCAATCAGCACGGTGGTCGGTCTTCCCCTCTAGCCCACACATCTGGGGGCTAGAAAAGGCCAGAATTTGGCATCAAGACGGCTGGTGTATCGATCTCCCAAGCTCAATCCAACAAATATAGAACCGTCTAGCAACGCTGTCGTGATGACCTGGCCAACTTACTGTAGTCAGCAGGCTTCAAATGCCCGGCTACGGCGGTTGCTGTCCATTGACAGCGCCAAAACTACATTAAAAGTCTCGTCACTCAACATCAAAAGGGCACCAAACCAGTGTCACATACGGAACCTCCAGCTCAAGGCTTTCAGTCAGGTTTACATCTTCGCCTTCTGCTCTAAGGTCGCAACACGCCATACTCGTTTCGCGGCAACGGGGCATTTAAAGAGATGGAAATCACCTGCGCCAGCACCTGCATGGATCCAATCAAATTCTTGTTTCCGTAATCACCTCCTGATGCGAGCTTGTTGCTAGTAGCCACTTGCGAGGCCAGGAGCCCCTAGCGTCCTTGCTCCTAGTAGCGATGCCAAGAGCCCCTAGTAGCTTCCTGATGCAAGTAGCGAACTTCTTCCTTACTTGATTAAGTAGCGGGCTTTTAAAGGACAACCACTCTCCAAAATGGGCACCTTTCGGGTATCTCGCGGGTCAATGACTCCATCATCAAAAGCACCTGCAAGGGCCAAGGCTGTGAAAAGAAATGACGAAAAAAACGTCTGTACATGTTGGATGAGATGGCCTCTAACCTGATAGCGATGGCCTCCAACCTACTAGAGATGGTGGCCTCCAACCTAGTAGCGATGGCCTCCAACCTACTAAAGATGGACTCCAACCTAGTAGCCATGGCCTCCAACCTACTAGAGATGGCCTCCAACCTAGTAGCAATGGCCTCCAACCTAGTAGCGATGGCCTCCAACCCAATAGCGATGGCCTCCAACCTAGTAGCAATGGCCTGCAACCTGCTAGCGATGGCCTCCAACGTAATGGCACGATGACATGATAGCTGGTGAAGGAGTCTCTCTGTCTTTCGCATCGCCTGCTGAGGAATGATAGGCAGAATTGCTGCTCTCGATGCCGTCGATGATGGGCCTCAGGGACCAGTGATCCACACGTAATCCGCACGTAGCCCCGTTCGTAGCGTCCTTGCTCCTAGTAGTAAGGCCAGGAGCCCCTAGTCTCGTCCATGCTACCACTTGAGATGAGAACTTCTTCAGCATTTTAACCATCTCGTCAGGCATCTCCTCGCAAAGCCGACAGCGCCAGAATGTGCAGTGCTGCGTGGCAAATTCACAGCAGTGCTGCAGTCCTGTTGCCCATCTCGCTTTAAGGTCTTTTGCTTCAGAATTGCAATGACCTGGTTCAATGTCTCAAAGATTTTGGGTGCAAATCTGAACCTGAGACCCTCTCTGGTCGCTTTTTGGACTCATGACTTCGAGACTCCCCCTTTATCATCGAATTTTCCGGGTGGACTTCGCTTGCTGAATCACCGATCAAACCATGCTTGGCACTTCGGCCCACTCACCGACTGACGGCGGAAGGCACCTCAGCGGCTTGTTCTCCACCCATGACTGAAATCCTTGGAGCAATATAAGCAACAATTAAACTTTCAGCCTAAGCACAAGGAACCTAAGAGCGATGGCCTCCAACATAATAGGGATGGCCTCCAACCTAACCTAGTACATTGATTGTAGTGAAGAATCGTCAAAGGAATCAACATGAGATGATCCCGTGTAGTAATGTTGCAGTTTGTATCAGATTCATTTCTCAACCAAACTCTGAAAGTAACGCCACACTGGTGGCGCCTTGGTTCCGAGTCGCTTCGCATTCGGCCAAAGGAAGGTGAAGCGTGTCCCGAAGGCCGGCCTTGAGCAAGCAAACGGTGAGCAAACGGAAGGAGGCGCTGGTCTTGGGTGGAGAGATGAAGGTAAGACCTTTTTTCCAATAGCGAGGGCCTCCAACCCTACTAGCCATGGCCTCCAACCTAGTAGCGATGGCCTCCAAGCTAGTAGAGATGAATATGATGAATGCTGCCCCAAGACCCAGCCATTGCATAGTTCCCCGCTCCGAAGCTACCACCACACCTGAGGAGCTTGGGACTGACTTTGGATCTCACCTCTGAAACTGAGTTGTGTACACAACCGAGAATTTGGGCACAGGCACATTACTCACCTCAAAAGCAGAGCGAAAGCGGAGCGTTGCCGCGTTGCCGCGTTGCCGGACGCCGTCCTGAAGGCCTGGGTGCCCTCACAGCATTCACCATCTTAGCACCGTCCTTGGTGATTCCTCCCTGCTCGAAGGCAGTGCCAATAATGAACCTCCAGAGTGGACACACTCAAACACACCCACAACTTGGCTTCATGTTTCCACAACTGAACCCAGTGTTTTCTTTCAAATGTCCATCGGCAGCAAACGCTATCCGAGGGACTCAAAAACCATTCACCTGTTGCGTCCCATGACATCGTTTTTCGTTAACGTGTCGTTCACGTGTCGTTCTGAGTTCGGCGGCCCCGTCACATTGTGGAGGAAGACCAAGGGTGTCCCACGCTTTCCACAGATCTGGACAAAGTGAGTTGCCTGGAGTCCAAACGAAGCAACGAAGCGACGAAGGATTCATGGAAAGTCTTCCAGATGTTTTCGATATATCAATGTGTGTATATATATATATCAAAATGTATCAAAATGCTCTGCGCAATGACACAATCCCGGAACCAACTCAAAAACCTAAATCTCCTTCGGGTCACCTTTATCGCCGACTCGCTAAAGAGCATGCCATTGTTTCCAATGAGGCCCACAGGGTACCCCTCGATGTGCCTTGCTTGCGCCAAAGCATTGTTGTCCGCAATGAACCACATGAAAAGTACATGACAATGAACACTTTGTTCTCTTTCCTTAGGACGCTACTAGGGGCTCCTGGCCGTACTACTAGGAACAAGAAGCTACGTTCGGGGCTCCTGGCATCGCTACGAACGGAGCAAGACGCTACTAGAGGGCGATTCATGCCTTCTCTTTCTGTCAGCATATCTGGAATCACAAATCACCGAGGCAAGGTACGCAAATCCACACACGATCGTTGGCCCAAACTTTGGCTTAAACTCATGGAATCGCGACCTGAGCATATATGTTAGATGTCTCGTTAATAGCAAACGATACTAGAGCTTTCTTCTTCTTTTTTTCATTGTTTCGAATAGCGATGGCCTCCAAGCTACTAGCGATGGCCTCCAACCTAATAGCAAACACTGACCACTTGTTTCTGAATGGCTAAGAGCGAAACCCATCAACGATCCGGGCAATGACCTCTCTGATGTCGAAAGGGATATTGGTGGACTCTGGAATGATGCCCAGCATGCTCTCGCTCTCGTACCTACATCTCAAAGGTCCATCAGAAGTATACTTAAACGGGAAAACAAACACTTTTGTGCGTCAAACACAGCACTTCCTCTAAATGTATTTTTCAATTTGAGGCTCCCCGCAACGGTGGCTCTGCGGCCTGAAGATTCTGCGAGGAATTGGTCGATTTTCGAAGGCGACTCGCATCAAGCTCGCTGCGATGCTGTTGGCCAGGATGGTCCTGGGATTTCGTCCCGCGAGATTCTCGATGACCTGCGTTCCATAGCCGTCTGAGACACTGTCGTTCTTCACATGTAAAAGAAAACGGTGCCACTTCGAAGTAGAAATCAAAACACTTCTGAGTAACGAAGAGCAGGAAGAGAGATGGGACGACACAATCCAATCCAATGGAGCACAGAGTGGCGACGAAGACCAACGTTGGCCTCTCGGCACATTTGCAACGCTGTCACCTGATCGAAGGGAGGAAAGCTCGTGGGTAGCCGGATACGAACACAGAACCCCCAGGGGTCCCCCGTCAATCAGTTGCTGCTTGAGGACAATCATCAAAAACACTGGTCAATGTTGAAATTCCAACTTTGAGGGTGCATGTGTTGTAGAGCGCAGAATGAAACACCGCTAGCCAAACACTTGTTTTCTGAAGAATCCACAGTTCCTAGTTCCTGGTCTTTGTGAAAGTGTGTATGACTCCTTGTAATATGAAGAATCCACCGTCCGAATGATTATGTGACCTGGCCTCATCCGGAGCCATCTGATCACAAGTTCCAGACTTCGTAGTGTGCATCAAAGCCTTATCTTTCACACACGCAGAACACCTATACCTTGGGCCAGCTCTCTTTTCTTGGGTTTTACATGTCGGATGAAAGAATGGGGTCTGAAAACCAAAATGTGATAGCGGTCAATCCCAAGTGTGATGGATCATCCATCAAGTGTACACAAAACACAAAACACAACCTCTTTGAGATCCTTACACCACCAAGACTCTGCTCCTCGGCATCCTCACCAGTGGCAGCCTTGCGCAGCAAATAAACGAGACACTGGCAACACTGTTGCTCGATGGTGCCCGTGCCTTTACTAGGGGAGGGCCGCCTAGATATACTGTGCCGTTCTCCTGGCGAAAACACAAAAAAGCACACCTGAAGCAAACAAATACCGCATGAGAAGGCTCTCCAACGGTCAAGACGGTCCTTCACGATGATGGTCTCATCACACATTGCAGGAGTATATGCGCCTCCTTTCGAGATGGTGCCATGTGCGGAGCTAGTCAATTTAAGACTGGAACTCAGCAGGTCTCAACAAAGGTTGGCACCTGCTGTGCACATGCCACAAACCACTGCAATCTGCTGAATGCCCTGCCAGACGACCGCGACAAAAAGTAGCTGGAAAGAAAGCACCACGCATGGCCAAACATGCACGAGCCCTGCAGAGTTCATGCTGGAGGCCACCGCTCTGAGGTTGGAGGCCAAGTATGCTTTCTTCGCGGTCGCGGTCACTGACAGCGCTAGAAATGAAGAGTGACCTGCCTTGGCACTCATTCTGGCCTGTGCCGAAAGGCACACGCAGGGTGTGAGAACAAAGGGGACAGGACGGACGTTGCAAAAAGGAAGAGGGGGGTAGGGGCACACGAATAGAATCTTGGTTCATGGATTCGGGTAAATCCCTCGATGTGGAAGATGCAAGAATCACAAGGAAACAACACATATTCCTGGCACGTGCTTCACAACAAATCCCAATTGAACAAAACAACCGTCTGTGATGCTGACTTCTCGATATGGAACGGCAATCCACATAGAAGCGCTGTGCCGTCCTGGTTGTAGAACTGCCGGCCGCCCTCAACGAACTGTGCTGGCAGAGTTCCATTGTAGGTCCAATCCTTGGTGCCGAGTGCATTGATCTCTGAAACTCTGAGGAAAAACCCGTTTGCACAGAAAGCAATGACATGGCATTGTACAAAACGATTTGCAGAACAGAAAAACACAAACACACACACACACACATACACGACCTGCATTTGGAACTGCGATGCTAACCACCATTATTGATTAAAGTAAAATTGAAGACTTCAGCGAACTGCCAGGCGGCTACTTTGGACTTCCCACTACCTGGCAAATGTCAGCGAACTGGGAAGGGCTTTTGTGGCTCCACAAAGGAACGCACTCGACAGGTGCAAAACGAAAAGCTTTAAGCGATGGTAGAAACTCGTCTCCGAGAATCCTTTGCGCCTCGGCCTTCATGTCTGAAGCAACCCCAAAGATGAGGCATCCGGACAATCTCTCACATGGTATGGCTCAAAACTCGGCACTCCCCAAAACCTTACAAACAAACCAGGCCATTTCAACCAAAAAAGGGGCTCTTCTGCACCGGCAATGGAGGGAACAGTAATCCATTCGCTCCCCCCCAAAAAAGTAAGAGACCTCACTATGTGGGCCGTCTCAACTCGTCTCAACGAGCTCTTCGAGCGTCGCCTTTGGAGCTCCCTTGTGCGTCCAACTTGGCGCCACCGCCGTCGATGAGATACACACAGGGCCTCAAAACGAACGACGCCCGTCGGCGACGCGGCCGAAAAGGATTCGTGGCCGTGAAACCGGCCGAAAGCAGGCTTTGTCGCAGAGACATCGTGTCTTTTTGTTTAAAAGGACTTACAAACTGAGAGCAGCACAAATAATTGACTTCGGCAATTTCTTGTGCTCGAAGCCACTTTTTGTAGCCAACTGGAAAGGCAACGCCACCTGGGCATTGAACCACTTGGCTCCCCTCAAATGACTCACGTTGGCAAACTGAATCCGCCTTTGATGGTCGCATCTGTGCCGATGAACATCACCTGATCGTCTCAAAAACTGGACGACCCGATGACTGGTGTCCATTGGAAGTGGAACACAACCAGCCATCCCCTTGTTGCACATCCCCTCTTTGGCTCAACGGCGAAAACGGTACAGTTCGGAACTGGCAGGTACCGTACCGCAACCGTTTGAACATCCTTGGAGGCAGTGGAGACCCCTTCAATGACTCGAGGCGCATGGAAACCCAGGTTTCTCTTACAACTGTCCAAATCCCCTGGCCCTTCTATTCAGCCCCTTTTCTCAACAAGATGGAAGGAGGGCAATTGAGAAAATGAGTGGGATTCTTCATCAGCCCTCCAAATTTAGTGCTGCTAGCATGAACTGGTGATAGAGAGTTTCTCAAGACGCACGGCGCAAGCCATTTTCTTAAAGAAGAAACAATTCGACCCCCAGGGCCCCTTAGCAAACCTGTCTTTTGACGCAACGGCACCCGAAACCGAGCTTGGCCGAGCATGGCCTCACGTCCGCTCACCACGCCAATGCCACACACGGTGCCGCCGCTATGAACTCCACCGCCGTACATCTCCCACCTGGATCGCTGCGAATCGACGGTAGTCGCGGTGAAACGCCATGCGGTAAAAAGAAACGCAAACGAAACAGTGGAGACGTCCAACCACAATTAGAAGGACCACTTGGTTTGGCAGTGTTTGGTTCAACATGTATGTAGGCATCTGATCTGGCCCTGCACTTCGCTGCCCTGCCCACCTGAAGTATTCTAAATATGCCAGGCGAAAACCCTATCCATCCAAAGCAAGCTGGATTGTATGTCACCACCAAGTAAAGTGCATCGCTACTAGTAACAAAGGCATCGCTACGAACGGAGCAAGAAGCTACTAGTAGCTCCTGGCCATACTACTAGTAACACAGACAACGGTTGCCCTGTTTGCGTGTTCCTCCTTTGCCACTTCTTTTGTGCGAGCCCTGGGGGTGCAGGCCCTGCGAGGGCGGAGATCTCCAGGAAGTCAGTGCCCTGGATGCAACGAAGGAGGCGAACCGGTTTGTGAAAAAGAAGGGAGACGTCCCGGCCCAATGGGTTTGATCTATTTTGGTCTCCCTACTTCAATGCACACTCATACTTCTGGAGGACACGCGCTGCGAAATCATCATCTCGAATGAGGTGAAACGTTCTGGAAAGTGCTCTGTGAACATAAAAACATGACATGCCACATGCAATATCTCTTGGCTAAAAAAGCCGTCTGGCTGAATTTCATGAGAAACCGTTCACGCCTGATCGATGATCTTTCGAATCCGTTCGCGGACCAGAAGCTTCCCTCTGCTTCGATGAAGCTTCACAGCCTCAAGGTACAAGCCGATGCAGTTAGCAGTGTCGGTGGAGGACGGGTGGACATCCAGAAAGAAGAAAGCCAGAAAGAATAATGTTTCGGTCAAATTCCTTTCAAACATGTTTTGGACATCTATTTCGATGGGCAAGCTGCTTGAGTTTTTGGGGGTGGTTCCAAAGGCAAGGCCTACACAACCACCCATCCCCTGGCTGAAGCTGGGCATAGCAGGAAGAGGCTTCATGGTTCTCTGTGAGAGAAACACACACACACAAAACGCCTCTATGCTTAGCTCAACGAACATAGAGAGCAAGCAAGAGACATCACCTTCTGTCCCCCTTTCATTCCCCTTCTTCTTCTTCTTCTCTTTCTTCAGCTTCCCTTGCTTCGAGGGCTGTCCACTGTCCGCCAAACACCTCCAAGGTACTCGATCAGAACCTCCATGACTCACCACATCGATCCTCCTGGAGAGCGGCTCCGATCTATGGAACAAGCGATGGCCCAGGAATTCTAATTCTAATTCTAATGAATTCTTGTTTCTAATAGCTTCTTGCTCCTAGTAGTAAGGCCAGGAGCCCCTAGTAGCGTCCTTGTTACTAGTAGCGATGCCAGGAGCCCCTAGTAGCGATACCTTGACATCTGGCTGTAATGAGGACATCTTTTGGAATCGAACGCCAAGTCGAAAGCCACAAAAATGTCCGTCCAATATCCAGGAGCCCCTATAGTAGCTTCTTGCTCCGTTCGTAGCGATGCCCTTTATTACTAGTAGCTTCTTGTTACTAGTAGTAAGGCCAGGAGCCCCTAGTAGCGTCCGATCGCTCATAAAACAGAAGTGAACACGTTTTTCCGCCGAAATCTCGAGAAGGGCCGTGAGGATCTTAACATTTCCCGCTCCTGTGGAGTTCCGTCACCACGGACTTGTTGAACTCCCGGCGCTTTTGAAAGACGGGATCATCGTCTTTGGCTTTGCTCCTCTCAAAACTAGCAACAAAGGGCATCGCTACTAGGAGCAAGAAGCTACGAGGGGCTCCTGGCCTTACTACTAGGAACAAGAAGCTACTAGTAACAAAGGGCATTGCTACTAGCAAGGACGCTACGAACGGGGCGCTCCTGGCCTTACTAGGAACAAGGACGCATCGCTACGAGGACGCGAAGCGGCGAAGTCCGGCCCTCCGTGTTGGGACACCAGGTCGCTGCTTTCGAACACCGGATCGACGCCTGAGAACAGGTGTCTCGTAGAGCTGTTCCTCCGGGCTTCCGCTGCTGAACCATGCGCCTTATATGCCATCAATGAACATGGACAGGTTATTTGGTGTTTGATTCTCATAAGATCTCATAAGAAACACGAGGGGCTGGCATCGCTACTAGGAGCTCTACTACAGGTCCCGACCAGTGCGCTCTATGTGATAGTGGCGGAGATCAACGAATTCCAAACGAATTCCTGAAGACTCTGATTGAATGAGGCATGGCCACAAAACCTGCTTTCTAAGGCCGTGGCTGGGCAAAGCTCGGTATCCCGTGGTTCCGCTCTCCGTCTTCCGGACCTGGCCATCAACGGAAGCGCGATGGCCTCCAACCGAGGAGCGATGGCCTGCAACCTACTAGAGATGGCCTACACCCTAGATAGATGCTTCCCTTTTGGGACAAATCGACCAAAAACTACCTTTGGAACCTCGGTCTCACGGTGAGGCGATCGCCCAAAAACACCAATGGTCGAACCCGAGTTTGCTGTTGTCAACGTTTTTTACGTGTAAACCAAAGAAACTCAACGACAAGCCCTTCACCACTCGCTCGCTTCTTTCGGTCGAGAGAGCGATCCTCGGCATCCGGACCGTCCGGGGCAGAAGCTCCGCGACTTCTGCAGGTGCATCGCCACTGGCTTCCAAGCGAAACAAAGGAGCGCCCTGGCTGGAACTATCGATCCGCAAAGCCGGAGAACGAAAGATGGGGCCGACGCTGGGGCCGTCGCTGGGACCGATGGGGGTTTCATTGGTGGATATCTGGATGATTTCGGGCCTCATTCACCTGTTGCCCTGGCTGAATCAACACTTCCAGCACCTGAGCGCAGCTCTGTCCGTACGCCAAAACCTTTGTGGCCTTTGTCCGTCGGCAGAACTGAACTCTACTTAGAGTTAAAGGGCATCGCTACGAACGGGGCGCTCCTGGCATCGCTACGAACATATACCCAGACCACGTCTTGGACCACATAGAGCCCTTGGCAATTCTAATAGCTTCTTGCTCCTAGTATCACGGCCAGGAGCCCCTAGTAGCGTCCTGGTTCCTAGTAGCGATGCCAGGAGCCCCTAGTAGCGTCCATGATGAGATGCCCTTGTTGATGGTTCTAGGCGTCCGGCTTTCCCCGGCCGTTCTGCCACGATGTCCTTGGGCGTTTCGGCAGCGTTGCAGCACGGCTTCGGCCCAGTCGCGTTGGGGCACGAAAGCCACGCGTAGCAGCGATGCGGAGCAGAAACATGCCCTATTATGCCCTAAGATCTACAGAATCTAACATCAACATAGTACAAACTTTTCAGCCAAATGGTTGCACTGCTGAGTGTCCTGCAACATGTCTCCAGCCATAGTGACGTTAGTCAAAATGTGAGTCAAGACAAGTTGGACCCATTCTAATAGCAAACAAACTAGTAGCTTCTTGTTACTAGTAGTAATGGCCTCCAACCTAAATAGCCTCTGGAGAACAATCCCACCATGCCCAACTAACTCATTGCTCTACTGACCGTGCCCGACCTACGAACTGCCCTTTGGCGCCAAACTTCATTCAACATCTTCATTGCGGACAGCACCGCCAGCACGCTGCCAGCGGAGAGAACATCGCCCGCCTTCACTTTGACCTGCGTCGCCCCGCTCGCGACTTCCAGGTGTCGATTTTCCGTCTCAGTTAAACCCAAAGTAGAAGCTGCGAACGGTTACATGTGTCAACCAAAACATGTGAAATTTCCTCCAACACAGCGCTGATGGCGGTCGCAACTCCATCTGTTCCAAAGCCACGGCCACATCGACCCCCTCCTTCGCTGCGCTGCACGCCACGCCGCGCCGCCGCGTGCCAAAGCCCACCTCCGTGACTTGCGCCGGGAAGGGAGCATCGACCTGAAGGACCGCGAAGCGGTGCTGAACGAAGCTGAAGCGTTTTGTGAGGACGCGACGCTACGAACGGGGCTCCTGGCATCGCTACGAGGAACAAGGTTCGCTACGAACGTAACAAAGGGCATCGCTACGAACGGAGCAAGGAAGCTACTAGAGTCGCTGAAGCATTTTGGGCCCTAGGTTGCAACACCTGCCACGACATTGCCCAGCTGTGTTTTTTTGTGCCAACACTCGCTTTGTCTTCATTTGACAATGAAAGAGAACATGCTTGAAGCCTCAAGAGACCTTCAAGATCATTTTGTCCCACAAGAAGGCTTGAGTCATATCATAACCTGAGGTCCAAAGAAAAGGACGCAACTATTATATATATATATATACACGCTTACCCACACACACACACGCAAAAAAGGACCAACTACCCATGTCAGTTCTTGCTGTCCAACCCTCAACCTCACCTGCACAGTTCCGCCCGCCGAGGATGCTGTGCTGGCCTCACGACCACCGGAGACGTTCAGCGTGGTCAAGCGTCAGCCCCGTTCGAAGCGTCCGATCGCTCCGTTCGCTCCAAAACCTAAAAGGATCTACCTTCCTTTTCGGACGGTTCGTTTCTACGAGCGAAGGCCCATCCGGTTTTCCGGTGCCCACCTTGGGTGGCAAGTGGAGCTTCTGCGCCTCCACCCAGGTGGTGTGAACCGTGTCCCTGATGAAGTCCTTGCGATGCGACAGGGAGGGAGGTCTTCAAGGGCTGACAGGCGTTGGTGAGTCTTGAAGCAAATGAGTCGGGACCGGTCTCACGGTCGGTCTCATGGCGTTGTGTCTCCTGGTGTTCCAGAATGCGATTCAAGAAGTCAGTGTTGATCTTCAGGCCATCGACTTTGAAACCATTCACAGCCTGGTGAAAAAGCAGCAGGCCAGAATGTGAGGATTGACGAGTGTGGACCAACAGGTTCAGCCAACAGCCAGGTTCAGCCAGCCAGTGGGCCACTTACAGTGTCGAGTGGCCCAGACACACACCTTTGGAAAAAACAACTCAAGTTTGTTGCAGCTTGGTCAGTTTCTGGGAGGCAGTTTTCTCCACCAATCAGCAGGCTGCAGCAGCCAGCATTCGGCTGCCTCAGTGCATCGGCGCGTGTCGCCCAGATGATCCAGTCGCATAAAAAGTGGACAGAGATGAAAGTATTTTTTGCCGCCAGCATTTCATCTTAATTTGTAGCAAGGACGCTACGTTCGGGGCTCCTGGCCTTACTACTAGGAACAAGAAGCTACTAGTAACAAAGGGCATCGCTACGAACGGAGCAAGGAAGCTACTAGGGAGAAGTTGCACAGTTTGCAGCGACGCATCTCTTCATCTTTTTGATCCCTGTAATGGATTCGTTGCACCGCAAGCTACCCATCTTTGGGCAACTGCAGCGACGCATGCCGCGGCTGCCTTAAAGCCTGTGATACTGCGCAATGGACGGCCATGTGCGTCGTTTTCGCAGCGACTTGTCATCAAAAGACTGTACATTCACAGAAGCAGCCGAAGCAGCCCACAGTCTGCCTTCAAGAGATTTTAATTGGAGAGGGCCTACTCAAGGGTTCGAGGCTAACTCTTTTGTTCTCTGCAAGTAGAGTACATTGGAAAACTGAGTGGGGGTGCTCTTTCAGCAACAAAACCCACGATGTTTTTACCTTTTCACCATTCGACAGTTACGTCCCCCAATTCGACCTTTTGTCGTTAGGAGTAGCGCATCATCGAAAGAATCCGATCTGCGGAAAAGACCAGGTACTCCACACCATCTCCCGGATCAAATGAAATGGAGTCATACTTTTCTCGAGCTTGTTCAGCTCCATCACATTTGCTATCCAAGCGAATGTTTCGTCCCAAATCCACCTCGGCTTGGATAATGGCACCTCGTTGGGAATCGGGCCCCAACTTGGAGTCGGGGATCTTGGGACTGGTGTAAAAATAGATGGCGCCTCCACACCATCCGGAGGTGCCAGGTCGGAAGGCCGAAGCTAAGATCTTCTTCGCGGTGTCGGGGCTGGTCTCGTGGTATAAGGTCTTCACTCCAGGCTCTGAAACCACCGGCTCCACAGGTTCCACGGGTTGTGGGCTGGGTGCGGGTTCGGGATTGGGATTGGTGCAAACGCCCTCGCAATAGATGTTGTCCCATCCACAAGGCTTAATACCTACAAGCTTGCCACCTTTGGTGCAATGCTTGTAAACGTATGCTGGACATGGTGTGCAAAGCCCATCGTTGTAGGTACTGGGCCCAGTGGGCCCAGTGGGCTTAGGGCCCGGAACCGGACGCGGTTCCTGCGGCTTTGGCTTGGGTGCACTACATCTAGCTTGGCAAAGCACAGGAGAGCTGGGACATGGGCGGGAATTGCTCAAGCCCCACTGTGGTCGTCCTCCATTCTTACAGTGCAACCATGGATAGAGGTAAGCAGGACAAGCGGAGCATTGGCCATCCCAATATCCACTTGAAGCTGCGGAACTCGATCTCAACCGACCGACCGTCTCAACGGTCTCATTCGTGCTCAAGCTGCACCAAACGCCCGGCCACTTCACCACGAACGTCAGCAGCCAGACTCGCAAACCGGTCATTCCGAACTTTCCACGCCTTCGAACTTCGTTTGAACACAAAAGCTGCAGGGAAAAGACGTGTCACACGTGTCACACAGTGACGGTTTTTTTTTTCCCCCAATTCACACGAAAGTCAAAGGTCCAAGTTTGGTCAGAGATGGTGACATCCGAAGCACCTAGGCTTCCCCACCGTCGAGCGCCACGGCTCCAGTGTTGCCAGTGCAGAACCGCAGCCGCAGCCGTCCAGTTTCGCGCAGCCAAGGCTCTTGAAGAAGCGTTGTTGGGAGATTCGTTGTTGAGAAGCGCGGAATGGTTTGGTTCGCTCGGAGTATGACACTCTCATAGCTCGAAGTCTTGCGGTTTTGATGTGTTTTGCCCAGCCTCATGAGCAGCTTGCAAGGCGTGCTCGAAGTCTTTGCCCCAAACAATGAGCCTGACCATCGGTGGCAAACAGTCGTTTTGGGTCCAAGAACGACATAACTCTTCGAACCATTCTGCGATGTCCATGGCTTACACAAGGTCTTTAATTCCACAAGGTCTTTAATTCAGTCTTTCCAAAGATCCACTACATGAGATCTGTAAAAGTACGGAGCGCGCTTGGCAATCATGGGGTCGTAGTCTGTCACAGCCTGACCGTGCCGGCTAAAGAAGCTGGCTGGACGCAGCAACTGAAGGGCGCAACATCTACCATCCAAGTTGAACATCTCTTTCAGTTCAGCGTGAGAAACTGGGCTCCGCCCATCCAAACTTCAGCCAAGAAGCCACTGTGCCAGGACCTACCGCTGTCTCCACCTCAGTCATTCCATTCGATGCGGTGCAAGTGCCAGCGAATTCACATCGACGCCACACCGACTCCTGGACTTCCCAAAGGGTACGGTACTGCTTGGTTGACTCCCGACGACTTGGTGATTTCACGAGAGGTGATTTCACGATCCGACTGGCCTCCAAACATAAGCATCGCTTTGACCTTAAGACCTTTCTTTCTTTTTCTTTTTCTGTCTAATAGCGATGGCCTCCAACCTCAGAGCGATGGGCCTACCTTTCAAAAAGTGACGAAAGCGGCTAAGCTCGGCACTCTCACCGAGACGGGTTCCTCCAGCGACTTCCGTGGCGCCACAGGTGCGGGTTTCCGGACTCCGAACGACCGAAGGGTCGGTCTTGAACAAGGTTCGCTACGAACGGAGCAAGGGCCTTACTACTAGGAACAAGAAGCTAGTAGAAACAACATATAAATTAGAATTTCATCAGAATTAAGTGTAGTTAGAATCAAATTAAAATAAGAGTAAAGGAGGCTACTAGGACCTTTCCGCGCGCGCGAGCGCACGCGGGGGGGTGTAGGAGCAAGGACACCACTAGGAGCAAAGGGCATCGCTACTAGCAACAAGAAGCTACTATATAGTTTCTCTTCAAACTTCATTTCCCGCATCACACTTTTTGAATGGTGGCCATGCCAGATTTGCGAAGAATTGCTCCATGGGTTGAACCTCACGGCAAAAGAACCGGATGTATTCTGATGTTTGATATAGCCCTAAGAATCCAATACATGATGGTTGGTCAAGGACCTCTACCAAAACTTTAGGAATACACTAAGCCTCTAAGCCCTCGCCGGAAACTGCGCCTTGTAGTCCTGAACCTGTCCACCACCTCCAGGCAGAAGCCCCACACGAACTTGAATGGCAAAGCCCTGGCGATGCCGCCACTTGCGGAGAAGAATTCATCGAACCGTGACCGTCACACCTGTTTCTCATGCGCAGGATCAGTCACAGGATCACTCGGACCTTTTTCTCGCGCCAATCGGAAAACCACGCCCAGTTCACGCTCCACCCACCTCCCCCGCGTCACGATTCCCAACGCCACTGCCCACCCCCACGTTCTTTTTTTTCGCCTGAAAGCTGAGCTTCTTCTGGTCCAAGCCGAGGTCTGCCAGTGTCATGCCACCTGCCGGGGTCCGTCCGTGCAGTTCTGTGTTCCGTGTACACCGAAAAGAGGGTTGGTGAACCATGTGGGACCCAAAAGGAGGATGAAACAACGGTAGACTCGCACCGCATGGTCTACCAGAGTTTGACACAAACAGAAGCAGCTCCCCAAAAGTACCAAAAACGCATTTCTGCTTTGCATCCCTTTTTCTTTTTGATTCGGAAGTGTACATCCAGCGCCGGTCTGGATCGAGCTGAAGACGACGAAGCGCCACGCCTGCGATCTTGAACTGCGTCTGCACCAAATCGAGGCCCGTGATCTCCTAGCAGTTGCTCAGCTCTGTTTGTTATTTGGATGCATTCTACTCAGGCGTTTCCAGTCTGGGATGCGCATCCTCAAGAGCAACATTGTCCAAGTTCCTATGCTTCGTCTCACGTCTGGTCTAAACCGCTTGGTCAACGTGTTCGACGAAAAAAGACACGTCGTGTGGGGACCTCTGTGATGGTGTGCTCCACTTGAATTCGTGGATTCCTGATGCGTCGTCGTCGTCGTCGTCGTCTTGTGGAGCGGCCAAAGAGCTGAAGAAAGATGAAGGCATTCCCGCTTCAGGCAGTTCCTTCTGTTTGGTTTATCCTGGAAACATGGCACCGGCTTTGTTCGTGCACCGCACCATGGCACTCGTGCACGTGCCCAAAGGCGTCTTTTACGCGTCTGAGGCCAAGCTGCAGCTCCAGAAAGTAGAAGCCGGCCGCCTTGTCCCGGAGATCTCCCTGGTGAGATGAGAAGCAGCTGCGCCACCACCTCTTCGTCCTGTCCCTCCTAGTTGGACATCAACACCTACCTGATTTGGCACTGATTTTGGCATCACATCCTTCATATGCCACTTCATCTACAGAATCTGTCGACAGTCAACTCTTCACGTATGAAACCGACGGAGACACATCTCACCCGTCCCCTGCCTCAACCAAGAATTCAACGGTGCCAGCATTCTGATATCCCACCTTATTGTATCTGCTCAACGACTCGCAGTTGCGAGTTGACAAATCATGCGAGTCGACAACACTTCTTGACGTTCTCTCTCTCTCTCTCTCTCCCTCCCTCTGTACCTCATTTCTTGAGACTGTTTCCTTCTGTACCTCATTTGTCTTTTCAAATGGATCGCTTTCCTCCAGACCAGTGCTCCAGCCAATACGGAAGAACATGAGCAAATTGCACAGGAACAGCTGCCCTGCCTAAGTGTTGACTTACACCCCAATAACCAAAAACACGACTGACTGAGCAGGTCTGGATCAAGGATCTCAAGCGACTTGAGCCGACATTGTTGCCGAACAAAAGCAACACAGCATCACTCAACTGCACAAAAACGATCCTTCACGGACCACGCCTCGTCTGTGGCAAACTGAGGCTGTCCGGATAAGCTCTCTATGACAGTGGAGGGGACGGAACTTCTATGAACCGTAAATCTCATTGGCTCCCCAATTTTCAAGTGCATTTACTATGACTACTCCCCCAGCTCTAGAAGTCCCTCTCCACCGATTTCTATCCTAATCTACCTAACAAGAAGCTACTAAGTTGGAGGCCATCGCTAGTAGGTTGGAGGCCATTGCTACTAGTAACAAGAAGCCTTTTATGTCTTTGATCGCTACTAGTAACAAGAAGCTACTAGGTTGGAGGTCATCGCTACCTATCTTTCAACATCAATCACATTGCCGCTCGTGCTGGGGCCACTGGTGGCTACCGGCTGCCCATCAAGCGAGAGATCCTGGAAGTCCACCCCATCTGGTCCAATGGACGCCGAACAGGAAGCCATCCCAGTTCGATCACCCTGCACCTGAAACTGAAGCTGGACTTGGGTTGTCTGTCTTCCGTTGATGTTCATGGATGAGTAGGATTGACGATAAATCGGCCCACATTCCACGCTGGAACCCACACGCCCACTCCGTGTGATCAGCGTCTGCGCTTCGCTCAGCACACGGTCAATGTCGTCCTGACTGCCTTTCAAAAGACTGCCCATCATACCAATGGCCGGTTGCAACAAGGATCCTAAGAGTCCTAGACCTCCAAACGATGGACCATCAGCCAAGGCTGACGGCTCCTTGTTTCCTCCAAAGAGGGATTTGATGCCATTGCCGATCTTTTCGATAAAATTACCCCCTCCCTCACTTTCTCTCCCGAGCTTCTTCTTCAATTCCTCATTCTCACGCCTCAGCCGATCTACTTCAGATTCACCGCCAAAGAACCTGCGTGCCGTAGCAGCTTGGACCTCCCTGCGCGATCCTAGAGTGGCCAAATGTCTATGTCCTGCCATCGTGTCACTGCTGGTTCTCCGTGGGCCATCACCCGGCTTCGCCATGCCAGGTCGAAGAAACGGCGTTTCAGTGGAAGAAACGACGCACAGCAGGAGTAGCGATCCGGACAGAGTCCAAGAATGCCTTGATCGAGATCGAGACCAAGGCTGTGCCATTGCGGAAAAGGGATGAAAAAGGGGGGTAGGAGTTGAGATGAGTTGCTTTTGCGGAAAGAGATCACCAAGTTTCATCAGCTTGATCTAGCTCTCAAAATCTGCGAGTTCTTGAAATGTGCTTTTTGAGCCAGGTGTCATTGATCTCCTTTGAACAAATACTTCGGCGGTTGATGGACAATGGAGCGCGAAAATGATCCCACATTGGGTGCAAACCGGTGGCTTTTTGGTTTTAACGAAAATACACACATCGTCTCTTGGCATGGAGTTGGTTTTGAAGAAAAACTCCAGGGACTCTCGGGCTAGACCTCAAAGATCACCGGGGTGTTCCGGTAAAAGAAAAAGGATCTATTGAGAGGACACCTCGCTTTTCCCTGCCGTCGAGACCGAGACAGGTCTGCTGACGTTCTGAGTGCCACGGGCAGATTCACAGAGTGCCACCGCAGCTGAAGTAATTCGCTCCCGCAGCTCCGGATGCATGCCTCAGCGGTTGGTCGGGACGGTAGGGACTGGGGCTGGAAGAATCCCTGAAAAAAGAGGTTCTATTTTTGTTTAATGACCATTGGAATATTGTATTACATTATTTTACAATCTTGTTTTTTACCATCTTGTTTATCTTCCCGCTTTTCTCACCTTATCTTCTCCACCTAAGAACCCAAATGAAGGTGGTGATCTTTGCTCAAATGAGTTGTTCCAACAGCACAAGGATTTGCAAAGTCTGTCTCTTGGCCACTCAGGCAGAAGCCTCTGGCAGGTGCAATTTCAACCACCTGCAGCACATGTCAAGGGTTTGAACTGCTCCGCTTGCACCCGCGCTGCATCTCGAATTCGGCCAAGTTGACGTTGAGCAAAGTCGAACAAAACCGTTCACCGCTTACACAAGTGGAACAATGAACATCAACTGCATCTGCTCAGCTGCGCCTTCTGCTTTCGCAGCTGCACGGAGCAGTCGCGCTCAAACAAGTGGATGCACTTCCTCGAGCAAAAACAAGAAGCTAGTAACAAGGGCATTATTACGAGCAAGGACGCTACGAACGTAGCTCCTGGCCGTACTACTAGGAACAAGGTTCGCTACGAACGTAACAAGCTACGATCGTCGCCAAAAGTGTCCACCGAGATCGGCGCATCGACGGGTTTCGCGCCTGGCATCGCCGAGCACTTGAACCTCCACGTGCATGGCCTCGCACGAAGGACTCGAGCTCAGCTGGAGCTGCAAACCGGAAAAACATCTGCCAACCGTGACCAGCCGTCATGACAAGATAGAGGAAGAACATGTCAATGACCAGATCTGACCAGCCGTCCCTCCAGCCGTGCCCGGCCTTTGCGAGGAATCTCTCGATAAAGACTTCAGGACGTCCAAAGCCTTGGTTGGCAACGAACAGCCTTCGAGCTCAACAGCAGTGACAGTTGCCGTCACATGATTTAGTCCTTCCTCTAGATCTATGGGTCTATGTGCACTCAGATGCACTCAGCATGGAACTCATTTCGGCCTCCTTGCTGCATTTCTCAAACTCCTTGGCGAAATCTTCCTGAAGGTCGGCGATCGCAGCCGGTCCCGGCTCGCCACGTCTACACGGTCGCAGCCCACGGCGGTAGTCTCGCCTCACGTTCCACCACGGCTTGCCCACGGCCACCACCGCCAAAGGCGGCTTTCAGGAGCAATGGAAACTTCATGGGCTGTGCCTCCAACATCACATCACGTCGAACTGGGCTATTCACGTGAACAGAACATTCTCGCTACTAGAAGCAAGGGCCGTACTAGTAGTAACAATGTTTGCTATTAGAATTAAGTTTAAGAATTTAATTAGAATAAATTTGATTTTGGTGACCTCCGAGCCGTCCGAGATGTGATGTCTAGTAGCTTCTTGTTACTACTAGTAAGGCACTTGTTACTAGTAGCGATGCACTTGTTCCTAGTAGCTTCTTGTTTCTAAAGTTCATTCTCCAGAAAATCATCTCATCTTTTGGAACGTTTCTTTCTTTCGGACGCCACGATCGGGGCTCCTGGCATCGCTACGAACGGAGCATTCTTACTACTATAGGAACAAAAAAGCTACTAGTGCGTAGAACATCATTCTTTTTCTATTTGGAAAACAGTTGGCCCATCCACACACGACACTCGCTCACTTTGGGCGCCTTGAGAAAGGCCACCGCCTCCTCCACCGTCTTCAGACCAGGGCTGCCCGGCAGCGTCGGGATCTGCGCCTTCACCGCGGCCTCTTTGGCCTCATCGTCGGGCCATCCGGTGGGGACGGGACAACAGGCCCGCAAGCCGTATAGCCGTATAGCTAGATGCCCTAAATGATATATTCCGTATAGTTAGGCCTGCAGAGTCGGGATTCGGAATGATTTCGTCTGGACAGTGTGCAGCAGTTGCCATGACCCACGAGTGGCATGCGTGTTCAGCCTTGGTCTTGTCGCCGAACAAGTCAATGATGCTGGACGAAGGACCGACAAATCTCAGTTTGAAGCAGCAGTGTGTGGTTCGCAGCACAACCAGTCAGAAAAAAACACAGACAAAACCAACACAACGCAGCATCTCTCCGACGTGGAGCTTCCTGCAGCTGAATCACTTCACTCCGTTCTTTTCGCAGAGTGCAACGAATGCCTCATTCTCTGAGAGAAAGCCATAGCCTGTTCGCGCAAGCGACAAAAGAAGAACAGTGGCTTTCTGCTCCAGCGACCAGTGGCATATATCATGGAGATCCGTTCCATTAGGTCTTTCTTAGTCTGGCAGTCTATTATCCCTGGGTCCATCTACGTGTTTGGAACGTCCGTCCATCTCAGTTTCTCTGTTCGATTGATGCCTCACCTGGATGTACTGCCTCACAACCTTCCTGGAGCGCGATCCTCACGATGTTCGCGGCGTCCAGATATGGCCTCAGCGGAGGGTCCGCAACGAGGAGCGATGGATGGCGATGGACGAAGGAGAGCGTCTACACCGGGGGGAGATTGGTTGAAGCGTGAGCACAATTTATTTGGTTCCTAGATTTTCTAGGGAAACGAATCGAACCTTTTTAAACGAGAGATCGCAGCATCCGCTTAGGCTCTATGTCATTCCCCATTGGAGGTCCTTCTTCGGCTCCCTGGGCTCCCTGCGCCACTGGACTGCTCCCGGGTGGAAGCTCAACGACCTCGAGCCGCTCGTCCGGCGCTACGAGTTCCGGACTCACCGGACGAATGGGCCTTGTCCACGACTGTGGGATGGAGGGCCTTGGCGTCCTGAAGCAAGCAGAAACGATAGGGATGGAGGCCCTTGGCAGCTGCATTTTGGCCTTTTCTTAGACTTCCTTTTTCTCTGAACGCATGGTTTTTTGACCACCGACTTAGCTCACACAGTCTTCGTCACATCTCCCGAAGCCTCTCCTCCTTGGTGCACACACCCACGGTTTCGATACCTCCGCCGCGCACGCGGGTCGCGACGCGGCAAGGAACGAGGGGTCAGCGACCGGGACTCCCCGCCTAGCGCTTTGGCGGCACGGTGGATGCGACAGGCGATCTCGCCGCGGTTCCTCAAACGAGTGCGGTGGCCATGTGACCATGGCCGGCTCGATGTTGGAAGGCTCATCTGGGGTTTCCATGGTTGGCATCTGCACTTTTCCTCTTCTTTCGCAAATGGGTAGTGAGGCTTTCTTGGGAATCGTTTCACCTGTAGTGACAAGGAGCTAGGAGCTGGAAGCTACTAGTACAGTATGTCTTTGAAGCTACTAGTAACAAGATGATGAAAGGCAGGCAGGCATGGGTATCGAGGCTTCCGAAGCTGATCCATCCACCCGATTTCATTCGGACTCCCCAAGCCACTGGACTACAACCCCCGTAAAAGCCAGTAGCAGTAGGATCCTTCATATGGAGACAACCTGGATCTGGAAGAATCAGCTCCAAAACTGTTCCTAGTAGCGTTCTTGTTCCTAGTAGTAAGAATGCTCCGTTCGTAGCGATGCCAGGAGCGCCGATCGTAGCGTCCGATCGCTCCTAAAATTTCTTTGGATGATTTTTGGCTTCATCAGCATTCTCTCTAGGTTTCCTCGCGCGATGAGGATCTTCCGGAAGGGTGTGGCCGAAGTGGTCTCCACCTCCGGCCTGCCATACCTGCCTTCGCGGCCTGCGGTGGCCGAACAACGGGGAGAACAAGCGTCCTTGCTCCGTTCGTAGCGATGCCAGGAGCCCCTAGGCCCTAGTAGCTTCTTGTTACTAGCAGTAAGGCCAGGAGCCCCTAGTAGCGTCCTTGCTCCTAGTAGCTTCTTGTAGTAAGGCCTGGGTGGTATCTTTTTGCAAAGAAATTCCATGCTCAGCTCAGCTTTGCGAGAGCTATGGACATTTTCCATCAAAACTGTTGGTTCAAATCAGCACGTGCTGTTACAAAATGCTTTGGCATGTATGCCTTGACTTGAACTTTCCTTTTGTCAACAGGTATTTGGGGATCCGTCAAGAGTTCTGCGAGGGCACAAAACACGATCAAGATCTACGTTTATCACAGCTATTCGTGTGCTGCCTTGATTTTCATTTCGGGCAACTTTGGTGGAGACAAACGACATCTGGGACGGGGCTCGCTATGCTGAAAACAGAGCCTCAACGCAGAAGTGGAAGCACTTCAATGGTGCAATTCGTTTCGCAATGTTGACCAGCAAGCTCTGAGTGAGAGAAGACCACAACTAAGTGGTAGGGCAAACATACTGCCAAAATCATGGTGTAAATGCTAGAAGATCAAAGGCAAATGAAGGAGTCAGAAGCAAGATTCCTTGGTCATCGTGGCCATGCCACCCCGAAAAAAAAAATAACTCGACACCATCTCCTTCAAATACATCCAACACCAGTTCATTTTTTTCCACATCAAACGAGAACCTCTTCCATCAAACGGGCAAAGAAGCACGGCCGGCCGGTCGCGCCACTCGTGTCGCGTCGCCACGTTCGGGCGGCACGCCGTCTCGCAGATGAGACTGCAAGATGCGAAGTCTCCTGCGTCAGAAAGGACGGGAACAAAGTGACTGCAGACGTCTCCTGCGTGACAAAGTCAAAGTACCGAGAAGAAGAAGAAGACACATCCAAAGTCTTTCAAAGCTCTAAGAGTTGTTCTTTAGCTATGAACATCAGAAAACACGATCTCGTCCAATCTAGAAGTACCCTGGCCAAAGCTTTCAAAACACCCTTTTGCAGCCCAGAAATTCCATGCTCCCATCCGGTTGACCGTGCTGATTTGGTGCTTTCAATCCCTCCTCGCGCTCGACATCCGGACCGGATGCGCCCCAAACGGAGACCGTCGGAGAGACCGTCGAACGACCGGCCACCGTTTCGGGAGGATGCCTGTCTTTCGACTCGGGAAAGTGAATGTAGGCGACCTGATCCCGTTTGTTTTGTTGTTTTTTAATGCTGAAAGAAACCCATCAGCACACAAAACAACCAAAATAAGACATGGTTTTTGCACCTACTGGAGATGGGAGTTCGTGGACGTTCCTCCGCCGCACTTGGACCTCATCCGTTCCGTTGTTCCGGTGCTCATCCTCGTTTGATTCACATGATGGCACAATGCTGCCAGAGCCAGATGGCTACGCGGCTGCGGCTGAGCTGACAGGAAAGAAGGGGTGCCAGTCTGTGAATCTCTGTTGCTTTACTTTCGTCAGTCTGAGTTCTTCCCTCAGTTAGCTTAGACTTGGCCAATTTGACCACTGCAAATACCACCACTAATACCGCCTCCCCCAGCCTCGAAGACGAATCCTTCCCTCCAACTCGTCCCTCAAGTCCGCCTGGTTTCAATAAAACGCTTTCCTCATTTTGCGAACCTAAGAGCGATGGCCTCCCTAGTAGCGATGGCCTCTACCCACCTCCAACCTAGCTTGCAAGGCTTGCAGTTTCTTTTTTTCTTTTTCGATTTGAATGTCTTCACTCCGGTGCCCCGTTTGGGGTCACTCCCGGAGAGACCCGAACGGGGTCGGACGGTTGCAGCGAGTTTCGGTGGCGAAAGGTCGACGATGTAGCGTCCTTGCTCCTAGTAAGGCACTTGTTTCTAGTAGCGTCCTTGCTCCTAGTAGTAAGGCCAGGAGACCCTAGTAGCGTCCTTGGCTCCTAGTAGTAAGGCCCTTTGCTACGTTCGTAGCATCCTTGCTCCTAGGTGAAAGGGTTCGGGATTCGGGCCAGGGCCTTTTCGTGAAAAGGAAGAACTCGAAAGGTCCAAGATGGATTTTGAAAGACACCGAGCTCAAAGAAGCGAAACAAACGAACCTCTCGAGCCGAAAAGAACACCTCTCGTGGGTCGAAATCTTTCACCATTCGTTGATCTCGCTGTTCCGCACGTGGGCGCACCTGAGTGACACCTGAATTGAGACGGTCTGTCTTTGTGAGCATCCCTCTCGAGGTCTCTGGTGCTTTGGTGACGGGTGACCTGTCACCTGTCACATGCATGCTCTTTAAAGCATCTGGTCATCTGTGGAAACTTTGCACTTATGGAGGTTCTTTCAAAGAGGGATGCTCTGTGCAGCTCTGCAACTGATGCTCCGAATTCCAAGCAGTGAAATACTACAGAGGCCGATAGCTCGTCATGTGTCGAAGCTTGGCATTGGGATCCCGGCGCTGGCCAGTTGCGAGCAAGACATGGGTGAAGCTAAACAAGGAATGTCCCACCCATTCTCCTTTCTCATTGTCCTATAGGGGTGTTTGTTTTCGGTTCAGTTGTTGTTTTTTCAGCCTCGATGGTGTCGTTTCGAATGACACTGATCCGTGAAGGATCTGACCGTGTTGTCGTGCCAGATCCGAGCGAGGACCGTCGGCCGTTCCACACACCCCGATCGTTGTTTTCGTCGGGGTTTCTAACACGTTTCTGAAATCCGGTGGACAGATCCAAACACAAAGTCATATGCAATATAGTGCAATATAGTGCAATGTCTTCTTCATTGGATACTCTCCCGTGATTGCTGAACCTCCCGTGAGGACGCCACAAGATGAGGATTGCGATCCTCTAGACGTTCAACGTTCTTATGTTCCACCCGTCCTCGGCCCGTCCTCCACCGGACGAGGTCATCGGTCTCCGGTCTCCCTTCTGAGGTCACCCGCCGGCCCCTTCTCTCGCAGGGTGGGATCCGTCGGTAGCGCGCAGAGCTGACCTGAGAGGAGCGTCGGGCGAGCGTTTTGCCGGCCACGAGCGGCGGAGCGGCACGCAGCAGAACGAACGAACAGAAGAACTGAAGAACGGAGCCAACGGGTTACATCGTTTGGTTTGTTCTCCTTCTCGGAACGAACGGTTTGGAAAAAGAGAAAAACACCAACGTGTTTGGAAAAAAAGGGTCTAAGCTTCGAAGCGAGACCTTCTGGGAAAGAGTTCTGACACCTTCGCCAGGGCACTTTTGACCATCTGCTTCATTTCGATGGTGTCATCTACCTTGCGAGTGACAGTTCAGAGCTTCGTGTTGCACACAGCGGGCTTGACAGCGACCAAGAGATGTAAAGGCAAAAGAAGAGCATGCAGCAGCGCAATGCTAGAAAAACGACTTACAACGGGCATCGCCTAACCCTTGGGTTTCGCAACGCTGCTCATCGAACTCTTCGAGAACTCTTCGATCTGCAAATCCACGTCGACACGGTGCCGCGCCCGAATGACTTGCCGCAAGGTCGGTATCGCATAGTTCGTCTCCTGACCGTCCCGGAGACCGACACCCGTCTCGCGGGGCGAGGAATGGTGTTCGATCGGATCTCTGCGTGCAATCCGGAGAAAGACACGGGGAAGAACACCGAGCTTCCGAAAGAACACCGGCGAAACGCCCGTCCTCTTTCTGCCGAGTGAGGGACTCAGCATTCATGAACTTCGAGAGCTGGCCGGTCGCGGAAGCGTCGAAGCCACCAGCGACGCTACGTTCGGGGCAGGTCCAACACAGCTTCGCACGGTTGTGAGACCCGGCTGTTTGAGGGGGGCCGAAGCAAGGACGAAGACTCCCCCCGATCTCCTGAAGTTTACTGGTTGCAAGTCTTTGAGCATCCAACTCCCAATCAATCGGATCGCATGAGCTCTTTTCTCCGCTTTTTGTTGTTCAATCCAAAATGCTGAGGATGCTACAGAAGGAAACCATCCCGCAACATCAGCCATACGAATATCAATACACAACAGCTTCTCCGTACTGCTGCCACCGAGATGACAGGGCAAACCTTCCGAGCCAATATGGCACTGCACCGAGAACGGTGAGGAACCATCTTCCAACATGTCGATCCCATTTTTGACAGTAGGGGGACTGCCACTGGCCCCCGAGTGTTTCGGATTCCTTCCATTGCTCAAGAGACAGCTCGCCACCAGCGCCAGCTGACCTCTGGTAACAGAAACTTGACGACGCAGGACTTCGGCACTGCGATTGTCATGAAACCCGGGTGTCTCATGTCTCTGAGGAGGGGACAACCAGGGCTCCAATGGAAACAGTGCAGTCCATCGATTTTTGAGACACGGACACAGGACCATGAAGGAGGCTCTTTCGTGAAGCAACTTCCGGGTCGTCCCATACGTGAATTTGAAGTCATGACCCTCCTTCAGAGTCAAGAACAGTATTGGCAATTTAGAAAATGATTCGCTGGACAAGACCTTTGGTCATTGCCAGCCTACTCAGATCCAATCGGTTCGCCGTCGCCGTTCCGCGTCGAGAACCGCCGTCGCTCATTGTTCACGAGCGGCGCCCTGGCGACATGGAAAAGCATGGGGCGAAATCCACCGGGCTCTTCTCTAAGGACGTGGCGAAATCTACCTGAGCACCACCCAGCCTGAGGAGGCGTTGATGTGTATTCTGCGGTGCCTTTGAGCAACATCCTCCCCTAACCACTGCGTAAGAACGTGACGGGGCGCTCCGTGACCCCAGCGCAGGATTCTCTGCACTAGGTCCCCCACACACACCATCCTGCTGAACCCGGTTCAACGACGAACCCGACACCACCAACCCGGGGCCTTGGTCGATCAGCCGATTTCGAAGACCTGGAGCAGCGAAACACAGTCGACCGACGTGCCGAAACCGTCGAGTCGTGCCGAGTTTCGGGGGACCGACCTGAAGAGAGAACCGAGGACGCGGGGACCTTGAAGCACCCGGAGTACTGAGTTGGTTTTGATTGAAAGAGAGCCCAACTCCTTTGCAAACATCTGGTTGATGAACGTGACACGCTCAAGAACCGGGAACCACTGACAAGGATTCGGTACTTCACAGCCAAAACGAGCGGCAAAAAGATGTGTCAGTGATCAACTGTCAATGGGACAAACCAGGCTGCTCAAGAGGCCCTTCTTGACCCCCAAGAAATAACATGAAATACCTCCCTTCCTTCAAACCCCCATCGCTCGGCCACTCCTCCCTCTCACACCGCCGGTCGTGGACGTGGACTCGGGGCCTCATGCCCCGAGGAGTGGACGAAAAGTACACGATCCAAGCCCTTGGTCATGGTGTCGCAGTAGGTCATGAAATGATTCACCTCACAAACACCGCAGCATCCAGCCACAGTCACCGACTCGTTCGTGCGAAGACGCACGCGGCAAACACCGCGAGAAGGGGGGTCGTTTGGGGAATCGCGGGATGGTGGGTGGATGGGGTGAAGGCCACCATGGTCCAAGAAGGCCACCGTGGGGGGGGAACTCGATCCCATGTGATCTTGCAAGCACTTTCTGTGGAACTGAGGTGCCATCCATTATGGTGTACCAATTCAATCTTATAACCATCAGGCCATATAAAACCCCTCAGGGCTGAAAAGCCTTTACAATCGTTGGGGTTGACATTTCAAGAGGTCTTCACTCTACTGGTCCTGTCTACGTAAGTGTGCTCCCAAAATCTAGGAACCAAATCATTAGTGCGAGCGCTTCTTCAAGGAATCTTCCCCCCCCGCCGCCTTTAGGGTGGCGGGGGGAGCTTCCTTGAAGAAGCACGAGCTATCCTGCGTCCAGTTACTAGAAGCTAACTAGTAGCTAGTAGCTTCCTTCTCCCTTACTTAAGGAAGTAGGGGTAGGGTAGGGCCTCGGGCCAAAAAAGTAAATAGGAGCGGGCTGAAAAAAGAAGATCACATCGAGCCAAACCTCCGACAGCTCCCAAGGCGACACCCGCCTCGCTTTCCTCCGTGCTCCAGATGTCAGGCATATTCATGACCTCAACTCGCTCAGTTCTCAGCGTCAAATGTTTCACCTGAACTTCCGACTGATTCGCCACTTGTTAGGAGATACACATACGACGTCACTTCGGTCACTTCGGTCCAAACACCACCACTCTCTCGGTCATGGCCCATGTCTCCAATTCTGGACATCTACGGACCTCGAACTCCTCGTTTCACGAAAATGCTTCCGATCGTTCTCCGTTCCCAGGGTCCGATTCCCCCCAAACCGCCGTGCTGCTTCCGCTCTTCAGCGCATTGGAAGCACCGGGGCGAAACCGCTTGGGACGCCCCTTCGCGGAACAAACCGCCACACCCGTCCTGGAACCGGGCACTCCGCTGAGGCGACGGACGACGAGCTGAGATCGTTTGGAGCGCCGGGCGATCATGTCGTTGAGCTTGGTGAAGGATGCCACCTGGGCGTCGACGGCACGACGAGCGACGAGCGACTGTGGAGCGAGCATCGGAGTGAGGCGAGCATCTGGCTTTTCGGAGTGATCACTGGGTTGCTTAAGAAGTTGAAAGTCATGGTGGGTCAAATGGTCGGAGGCGATCACATCCTGAAGGAGATTCAGTCTACGACTATCTTGGTCAGTGGAGGGATCCCTCTAAGTCTTCCTCCGTGTTCCTCTCTCTCAATCCCTTATGTCTCCGCAAAAAGGTTTTGAACGCTTGTTGGACCGATCAGTTTGTCGTATGCCTCTCAATCCCTTATGTAACCTTCAAACGCTTCGAATGGGATTCCCTTTTGGACCGACCGTGCAGCGGAGAAAGAGGCGAGACCGAGCCATCATCGGGGGCATCCGAGGCGAGGGAACGCGATGGAAAAGGGAAGGCAAGAGAGCTGGTCCGAGGGAACGAGCTGATCCAGCCGAAAGGAATCTGATCCCAGACGCTGATCCCTGACGCTGATCAGGCGAAGTCGAATCTGATCCGGCAATTGCCCTCTTTTTGCCCGTCTTCCTGGTCGTCCGATACTGAGCATCACACCCGGTCCCACTCTGCTTGAGCTGCCAACGCCCTCAGAACCGTGACGAAATGAAGCGGATCGAGCGCCGGCTGGGGGAGAAATGGCTGCTTCACACCCCGTGGCTCGAGTGGAGCCTCACGGATCTTGTTTGGACATGGAAGTCTCTCTCAGCTCTTGCTTTACAATGGCAAGGACCAACATGTGATTCTTTGGGCGTGTCAAAGTGGAGATCTTCCCACCAAAGACCGCAAAAAGGAGCCGTAACACGTTTTCCATCGACAGTGAGGACCGCACGGGCGCTCTTTGGTGCTTGACTTTTGTACCTGCCACATGGATCCGGATGATGAAGATTTTGAGGCACTCAGAAAAGTTTTTGAGAAAAGGAACGGATTCCATCGCTATTAGGTTGGAGGCCATTGCTTCTAGGTTGGATTCCATCGCTATTGGGTTGGAGGCCATTCTCTCCCTTTGGACGGAGACAATCTGTTCATCACATTGATACTGATTTTCAATGTCTGCTTTCCGTTTCAAAGCTTGGTCTCCTTGCATCTTCATTCCAAAAACAACGGCTAAACAGAACAAACTCCAGAAAAAACAACCGAAGAACCGCAACACACCAAAAAGCCGCCACCTCTCTTCACCAAAAAATAATACCTCCCCAACATACCAACCTACACCCGCCTCTAGCTTGACCGGCGCGGTGTCGTGCTTCCAATCGGCGATGTGCTTGCTGGCGTGCTCGGAGATGTCCGGACACTCGGAGGCGGCGCGCAGGTCACAGACCGCCACTTGACCCGTGGTGCCCTCCTTGCTGGAGACCACCGGCTTTAAAGTGCCAGTGGGAGTATGATTGTTGCCAGCGTCCGAGGCATTCTCTTCCTCCATCTTGAAGAGATCATCAATTTCCAAGGGGATGGCATCCGCATTCAAACCCTGCGCGCCATGCAACTGTTGGACAAATTTGTGACGTTGATCCACACGCAGCGACCAGTCGTAGGTGTAAGGCTGAATCATTTCATCATCCACAATCACCACCTCAGGGATGTTCATCGAATCTCTGCATTCGATTTCGGGCCCGAACATTGGATTGACTCAGTTGGAGGAACAAATCCCCATGTCCAAACTAATGTCAAAGTGGGGAAGAGACTCAGCCCAAAAATGCCCACTGATGGCTTTCCGGAGTAATGTTGCACTTGAGACTGCTCACTTTCACTGAGAAAACACACCAAAACAAAGAAAAACAGTACATGGACCGACCAAGATCAGTACCTTTGGTGCCTTTCACTCACCTCACTTACCGTCCACGTGTTGTGCCTCCACGTCCACGTCGAACAAGCGACGGTTCCGGAGCGTCTCCGCCAAGAGCTTGGCGGCATTCTTGGCACGTTCCTCAGAGACGCCCTCGGTGATGGTGAAGACGCGGATGTGGCATTGACGCCACATGCGATGCTGCAACAACAACCAGGAGAGGAGAATCATAAAGCCACCTCAGCAAACTTGCCGTGTCTTTCCCCTTCTTTTCCCAATTTCCTTCCTTTTGTTTGGTTCAGATGTCAATCAGTTCAGTCAATTCGCTTCTTCAGATCCAAAAAACACCACACAAAACACCACGCCAAGAAGAAGACGAAAACGGATCGAGACCCGACGTCGACCCGCCAGCCGCGGCGCCATCGTGGATCATCCACCAGACGTCAATGGTGCCCACGACGGCTTGCAGCGGCATGTCCTTGAGACCTTTCACCGCTAAGACGGATTTCTCTGCTGCTAAAGCCGTCGTGACCACACTCAAGAACTCCTGAGCCTGAAAGACAGCTGAAAAGTGAAAAGCTCATCCCAAGAGAAGAAGCTTTGAATATAACTTAGATGTGTCTTTCTTGTAAGTTCTTTTTTCATTGTTACCATTTAGAACTTCCCTTTCAGATTTTTCCTTCTTCTCTCTTTCCTTTTGGAACTACTGAGCCTTGTGAGGATGCGATTTCCATTTGGAGGGCCAATTGATCAAGACGGTGTTGGGGGCTAAACCTCCGATGCCGCTCAGTTGGATGATGTAGTTCACACCTTGGAGAGTCGCAACCGTGCAGAATCCTCTTGATTGAAAAGAAAAAACTCAACCAAACTAGCGATAGCCTTCAGCATCCTTCAACCAACAAAGCAAGAAACAAAGACGTATGGAAACACCGTGACCTTCTTTGATAGGCGGTCTTGAGACGTCCCACCTCAAAAGCGTCTCCAAATCATCCGAGCAATGTTACTAGTAGCTTCTTGTTACTAGTAGTAATGCCAGGAGCTACAAGTAGCAATGCCCTTGTTACTAGTAGCTTATTGTTTCTAATAGCTTCTTGTTACTACTAGTAAGGCACTTGTTACTAGAAGCGATGCACCTTGTTACTAGTAGCTTCTTGCTCCTAGTAGTAAGGCCAGCAGCCCCTAGTAGCTTCTTGTTACTAGTAGCTTCTTTTGTAGGCGGTCTTGAGACGTCCAACCTCTCCTAATCTCCGAGAGACACCTGGTTCCTTGCGAACCGAAAAGATGAAAGAAAGAAAGCTAAGTTTCCTCAGACAAATCTAGGAACCAAAACATTAGTGCGAGCGCTTCTTCAAGGAAGCTCCCGCCCCCCCCACAGGCGGGGGGAGCTTCCTTGAAGAAATGTGAGCTATCCTGCGTCCAGTTACTAGAAGCTTAAGCAACTAGGAGCTTACTTCTCCCTTACTTAATTAAGTAGGCACCTACGGCAACGGGCTAACAAGAAAGAAGCAGCTTCCGTTTGCTACAAAAGATGCGAAACCTTCCATGCAATGGCCGCCAGGAGACCTTCGGACCAACTGGGCGCCACCACGCATTCAGCGAAGCCCCGGATCTGCTCCTCTCGCATGATGCTCTTGATGACATCCTTTTCGATGGAGGCCTTGTGCATGGCATGCTCATCTTTGGTGTCGGACTCCAGCACACAAGCCACACATGCAAAGCCATTGCCCTTCCTCAAGTAGGAGTAGAATCGGAGAATCTCGTGATGTTTGATGCCCTTCAACTCCTCTGAGAGGTGGATCCGATACAAGACCAAGACCTGTGGACGCCAATTCACGGCATGGTGTCCACTCTCCTCGAGTTGAATCAAGGAGTTCAGAGCCAACTGATAGCGAATACCATCTAAAGCACTTCCCCATTCAGCCTGCTCAAGGCGCCAGTTGATGTAGAGATACAAACAGAAGCTGGTGACCAGCGCCACGAGTGCCCAAAGCTGGCTCACGATGATCATGATCGACAAACAAACCAATGATCCAAGAAGACCCGTGCACATATACCAGATGCGCCACCGTCTTCGGGACATACCTTCCGATGCCCAGGTCTTGGCCAAACTGCTCTTCACATGTCATGTTTTGCCCTTGGTTCCTACGGTAGGTCCTACAAGATCCAATCGGTGGCTTCGCCGGTTCCGTTCGGTTCGCGCCTGAGGGGCGAAATCCCGGTGATCTCACGTAGGTCAAGACGAAGCAGGAGAAGTTCATGAAGGTATACGCGACCAGGAAGCACATCGTCAATAAGGGTGCCACCGCATTCACTTCGCCGATGAGCACCAAGGCGGCACCAAAAATGTAGGTGCAAGCCAAGGCACGAACAGGCTCCCCATGCTTGGACAAGGGTGCAATGCGATCGAAGATGGTGAGGATCTTGTCCTGAAAACATTGGTTTGTGCCGTTCGGAACACTCCAAGGGAGAAGGAAGGAAGTTGATTTGAAGCCAATGCTTCTTCTTAACACGAACGTTCGAACGTGCGAGTCCCTCAACATGTGACGGACTCTTCTCCGGAACGACAGGACACGTTCTGTTTGTTTCGATGTGCTTGGAACTGACGGACGAAACAAGGCGCAGGCGTCTGACAGGGGCACGATTTCCGACGGAAGCAAAACAGGGCTTTCTGACGAAGAAGCCATCTCGAAGGCTCCATGGACCAAACATGACCAAAACGAGGGATGTTTATCGAGGCCTAAGACTGGAAGCGCTTTCCGTCGGATCCACTGCGTCAGGGCCCGCGGAATGGGGCTCCCGGCCCTCGCGATGTTTTGGAGCAAACGCGGTGCCACGATGAGGCACTGCAAGGCCTCGGCATGGTCGACATCAGACCCAAGAGTCCTCAAAGACGAAAACATGAAAAAACAACCATTTGCAAAGCCTTTTTTCCGAAAGATCTGAGCTTGCCGGAGTCTCCCTCCCTTGGAGTCTGCCAGAGCCCGTTAAAAGGCAAAAACTGCAGACACTGCAGACAGTGCCCCCCAGCCTGACTCAGCGAGGAAATGATGATGCCGATGTGCGCGGAGTTTGGGAAGGGATTCCACACAATCTCCTGCGCACGGAGTTTAACAGGAGAGACCAGGAGAGTGGTTCTCCGAACATGGAAGAAAGGCATGGCCTTCTTTCCTTTCCATTATTCCTTCAAGAGAACATTGGGAATCGTTTGCTTCAGCATTTGGGGGGGCCAAGGTCCAAACATGAAGACACCCCACAATCACCCAGCCAAACGCCCCGAAGAAGCGCGTTCGCACCAACTCGTCCTCCACCAAGTGTTCGCCCGCACCCGCCGCAAGTCGACGATGGTGATCATCCGTGGAGTTGTTGTCCGAGTAGTACTCCTGTGCCGCACGAGCGACGGCACGAGGAATCGGACGGCCAAGTGGACGGACGGAAGTGGACGGACATGCATTTCTGAAGTGGCGCCGTTGGTCGTTGTTTTTTCCGCTGAAAGCAGGTTCAAAACGGGGGAGTGGCAGTGTCCTCCGCTGAAGAGTTTGATAGTTTCAAGTGGCAGATCAGCTCAGACCTTCTCTAAGAGATGGTCTGGTTGTTTTGTAGGTATCGTACTTCGTGAGCCCTGCTCCCCTGCTCCCTCCATGTTTCATAACCGTCATAACCAGACTCAAGTTCTTTATCCTAGCTGCTTCTTGCAAAGCTGCCACTCATCCCCCGTCTCCATCCACAGCCACTGTTGGTGCTCGGTCTGTCGACAGTTGTCCGGGGCAGACACCCAAACCCCTAAACCCATTCTCCTTCCCTTGCAGGTAGCGGTAGTCTGCGACGCATCCCCAAAGAAGGAAAAAGGACCTGGGAAGGCGGGTGGTCTTCGATCGTGGCGGTCGGTCTGCAGGCGCCAGACGGTGTGGCGCGAAGAAGGGGGGGTCCAGCGACTGAAGGGTTGGGCTTTCTCCGGTGAAACGAGCCAGGTTCATGTGACTGAAGTTCAACTCTTGGGGCATTCTTTTCGGGGTAAAGGTTGGCTAGCATGTGGGCAGAAGCATGGAGGATTCAATGAGCTTCCGCATGAATTCACACGGCAATGTGGAAAGTCACCGGACACCACCGGTGACCGGTTACTAGAGCATCACGATGGCTGGCAGCACCAGACTGAACATTAAGAACCTCCAGGCACGAGCCGCATGTAAAGCAAACCTTGAACAATCCCAAACACTCCATGTATGGCTACATTGGGGTGGTTGACTGGGGGTCAATGTCCCATGGAGTGGGAAGATTCCCTTTCAACGAACACCAGTCTCATGATGTCTCACATGTCAGTCCAACTGCAGCTGCACCAGAAAGCACACATTTTGGCCAAAAGTGTCGCTGGGCTCGCAAACGAATACATGAAGAAGCTGAAGATGATCGCCCCAAAGGTTCCATCCTACACGATCGATTCATAGCAGCTTGGGTGAGTGACCAAGTGGGTGCTTCATGTACACCAGCGTTGCTTTTGGGCCAAGCATTGTGGTTTTGACCACATGCACATCAGCTCAAGAACTTCACAAACAGACTTCCAGCTATACGTCACCATCCGAGATAGATGAACGTTTCACGAGGAAATACCGCATCATGCGACGGCCAGTCCTTGATGTTCTTGGGCGGATCTTTCAGAATGTCTGCACGGTTGGCGCCACTGAGGATTCCGGTGAAGCAGGGGAAGAAGACGCTCAACACGACCTCAGCGCTGCAGTTCTGGGCATTTGTTTTGGTAGATAGCTCTGTGGAGTGATGTCAAGCTTGATATCCTTAATGGAAACGGACTACTGGATGAAAAGAAGGCAACGCATAACCGCATAACCGGTTTTGGAATGTTTTGGATGAATGAGAACATATATATGAGAACTATGACATATATATATATATATATATATTATAAAAGAACTATGCCTATACTTTTCCATTTCTTTTGGCTGCCTGCTGATCCACTGCACCGGTCTGTTTGTTGCTGAGTGGCACCAAAGTTGGTCTCGCTGTCGTAGTGAGGCCCCCAATTCTTCTGAAACGTGTCCCAGCCTCAACGGGAAGAAGGCGTCGCGACTGGAAGAAGGCCGAACGAGCGATCGGAAGGCGACGCACGGGGCCGCCGATCTGAAGGTGTGTCACTGGGGGGGGTTACCCACAGCTGTACCCCGCAGCATCTGCATGACCTTCCCCCCCCCCAAATGCCGGACAAGTTGGGTGGAATCTGAATGACATTCCCGGAAACATCTGCCTCTTTTCTCAGACTTCCGATTTCCGCTCGTGTCTCTTCCTGAGGTCGAAACTGATGCCGGTCACCCAGGGATTGGCCTGTGCTGCCTCCTGAGCAGCTCGAGGTGTCCAATTTTCACACTGATCATGAGCTTAGCTCCTAAGATGTATCAAGTCACCAAGAGACTCTTTGCACGTCACTATGGAGCTAGCTTCTTCTACAGCAAGAACTCTCTTGGCTCATTTTTGCCATATCTTGCCACATCTGTTCACAACTTCCATCCATTCCAATACCTTCAAATACCTTCCATGGCTCTCAAACGCACTGATGCGCCCCAAACGGCGCCGTTGCTCTGAGCGCTCGGCGGTCAATGGGGCCGTTGCAATGCCCGCATAGTATGATCCCATCGTGTAGAACACCTTGGGATTCTTTCATCCGGTGTCTGTCGAGAACCCGATGGATACGAGATCAACCCAGCACCGAACTGTCATGAGAGATGTGGTTGAAGGTAGGTGGTTGTGCCAAGCAGGAGGTGGTTGTGCTGTCATGGTTAAGTAAGTGATAGTAAGCTGATCCATCAAACACCTGAAGCAAAAACAGCTTTGCTCTCTCCGAACTTCTTTCGGGGTGTCCGGTGTCCGTGTTTTCCGTTGCACCGATCCGTTGACCGTTGGCGAACACCGCCGATCTGAGAGCTGCGGCGATGAGAACGAAGAAAATCCCCAGCTTCGTCACGAAGTTGGTGCCTCCCCAGACCTCGGTCACGTCTCTGGACGACGCGACCCGAGTCACACCGAACCGGCCCCCACCCTTGGACGACGGCTCCGTAGGGTGGATGAATAGATCACAATCGAAGCACTTCAGGTGGACTTACCGTCTTGGTCTTTAAGACGTAATTACTACCCCGATTTTCGTGGTTTCGACGATTTTCGACGGGTTCCATGTGGCTTTTGGGGTTCCATGTGTTTTTTTTTGCAGGGGAGTTTCCAAGATGTTTTATGCATACCTGCCCCAGCAAACTCCTGGATTTTAAGCGAAGACCTACACTAGAAGTAGGGAACGTTTCCAACAGTCTGCTTAGTGCCATGGTTTTGGGGCACCTCAGTCGATCCTAGTTTTTGTTCACCCAAAACCATGGCACAGTTTCGACATCATCGATGTCGACTACCTCGCGTGGTGCTAACTGATCCGATCCGATGCTTCTGGAACGACATTGAACGACGTATCCTGCATGCTCCCAGGGAAACAGAACTGGTTCATGGGAGGTTGCAGTGTCCCCAGTTCAGATATGCCTTCGATCATTGCAGTTCCAACGTTGGAACATATTCATTCATATTCCTTCATCATTGCAGTTCCAGCACGAGGCTCGGTTTAATCTCTCAAGTAAATCCTGGCAAACCAAGCACATGTGCTTGGGTCGTTGAAACACGCAAACCAAGCTCGCGACAGATAGCACGAGGACGGCCATAAAGCCGGAGCCAAAGGCCTCTGTCAAAGAAGCAAAGATTAGCAAGACTTGGAGTGCTGCACTCGAACTGGGAAAGGACGATGAACAAGGCAAACACATCTTTTTTGCCAATCCCTAAAAAGGGGATTCACCACAGGGAAACTCACCCTTTTTGCCTCAAGCTGGACTTCATCTTCAGTTTTTCAACTAGACCTCTTCAGGACTAGACCTCTTCAAATCCCCCGACTAGACCTCTGCAGTTTTCAATCTGTTCCTTTCCAGAACAAGCTGGACCAAAAATCTTCCAGAACAAGTGGATGAAGCAAGCGGTTGGTGTGGATACACCATGTGCATCCTCATCACACGCTGTGCCTGTTTGCAGCCCGGAAAGTTCAACGAAGGCGCTGCCATCAGTAGAGCTTCGACCTCATGGGGCGCTCAGCTCCGCATGGGAGCGGGTTCAGCGCGCCGCTTCAAAGTGAGCGTCGGACGGCGCCCAGAACCTCCAAGACGGCCAGCAAGGTGATGGCCAACCAATACATGATGCCAACCTTGGAAGGTGCTGAGAGGTCATCAGCAGTCTTCCAACTGTTGCTAAGGTGGTGATGTGTGGAACATGGATGAGGTCTGTTGCCAGGTGCTAAGCGTGCAAGTACCGTCGTGCTGATGGACCGGACGAGTCCTCCACATCTGAACACCGCTCAGCGCGGGGCAGAAGCTCCCACTGAGGGACCCAATGCCCGGGAAATCATGTAGTAGGGCCTGAGTAGGACACCACGCTTCCGCATCAGCACGAGCTTTTGGTCTTGGGCCAGCTGCTATGAAGCGGGTCTTCAAAGAGAGAACTGTAGGCCCTAGGCAGGCTTACCAATCTCGAAGTTTTGGGACTTAAATCACGGGAACTTCTAACCACTCTATGCCCAAGAGATTGGTGTTGTCATCAACAAAGTCACATCCACTGACCACGCGCGCCCGGATCGGTTCGTACAATCGGACGTCTCTGATCATCTCGAAATAGGGATCATTCATAGATTCATTCGTCAGATTCGTCATAGATTCGATTCATTTGATGGCCGTGCCATCTGACCTACCAAATCGGTTGACCTGACCTACCCGGTGACCGGTGTTTTCTCACGCGGTGGAGCGACCGACGGTGGAGCGACCCGATCTGAGTTCCCGACCCTCCTTTGCTGACGAGACCACCAGAGGACACAATCGCAGACATGGAAGAGGTCCTTGGCAGATCGAACGTCGAACGTGTGACCGGGAATCCACCGGAAAGATTGGGTGACAAGAACGGGTCAAGGAAACCAGTTTTCTGGGCCGTCGAATCGGGGAACTAAGGAGCGGGCGTGCAAAATGCAGCAGTGAAGGAGATGAGGACGCAAAGCAAGGCTTGCAAAATGCCTGCCTCGCCACAATTTGCCATGAGTTCGTGGACTTTCATCACAATCACCGTCGGCCCATCACCTGCCCCACCACGAAGTAGAAGCGCAAGAAGATCAGCACGCCCCACATGTTTTCACACGTGGGCACCTCAGTCCACTCACGGTCAGCGCCCCGCTCGTTTCGCTGGATCCGTCGGTGGTGACCGCGGTGGTTCGGCGCTGAGGAGGCGGCGAACACACCGGCGAAAGCGCCTTTCTTGTGCCTTGGAGGTCGGGGTGCGCGGCAGATTCCGTCGAGGCGCGCGGGCCGGTCCGATCCGGTGCAGATCAGGTGAGCGGGCGTTTGTCGCGTCGCGCGACGGGGGAAGAGGAACACCATGGCCGGTGCCGAGATCCTGTAGATCCACCGGAGAAGCATCTCTTCTCTCCGCATCGTCGAAGCCCAACTTTCCAGGGGCCCGAAGCAAACCATGAATAATACAGGTTTTTACATACAAAGACCAGTGTTTTTGCTAGGGAAAACCAGGTTTTGGATGGTTTTGGATGGTTTGTGGTCGCCTGGTACGTACTACTTCAGTACTATACTTCAGAACTCTTTCTTTTAAAGTTGAAGCGGGAGTGAACTCCGCAGAACAAGAAGGAGGCCGCGTGGCCGACCCACACTGGGTGCTCCGGGCTTCTTGTGTTGATCCGATTTCGCGCCGCCCAGGACCTCGGTGGCCGTTTCACGGGAATGACCGACTTAGCGGATTTCGTAGTCGAACCTCATTCTTAACAATTGTTGGTAAGACAAAAAGAAATTCGTAGTGATGGCCTCCAATCTAATAGACATTCTTAGTGCTCTATCAGCCTCTAAGCCATACCTGCCTCTGGCTTTTGAGAATCACGCAGGACATCTGCGGAAAATGGTGTCAGGTGGTTCTAGGCCCTGGGCGCTTTCCACCAAAAGGCTTCGCTTGCTCTTGGGCGTCTCATCGTCACCTCGAGCTGAGAAGGTTTCTCGATGGCCCAGAAGCAGGTGACACTTTCTAGAGCTTTCTAGAGCTTTTGACACCGATCGAGAAGCCACACAGACGGAACACACATCCCACGGACCGTTCTTCGCCATGCGCTCTCCGCTTCCGTCCAGCTTCCCCGGGCGCACTGGGAGCAGCTCCTCCAGCCTTTTTACTCAAGACCTTCGACCTGGGTCGATTTCCATCCGAGAACACAGGGCAGTTTGCCAGTCATTCCTTGTTCTCACAAGCCTTCCCCTTCCAAAGAATGACTTGCTTCTCTGAATTCTTCTTGAACTGAACTGGTCCCGACTCCGGGAGTCGGGAGTCTATCACACTCGGCCCGCGGGCGACAACTCTTTGGCTTGGCGAGCCAATTCGTCGGAATCGATCTTCGTCACCTCGATCCGCTCGCCACCGTCACGGGGAGGACGGCCGAAGAGAGAGTGCAGGACCAAAGCGTCGTGTGACAAGCGCGGAGAGTTTTGGGGATGGGCATTTCGTGTGACCACCCGGTGGTGTGGTTGTTTTGGGTCCAAGGCGCCTAGCTGACAAACCTTCGGCGAAGCTCACGACGGGCCCGTCCGTCGCGGAAGACCGGGGTTTGGCTCGGGCCGCGGCGAACTCCGCGTCTCCCACGCCCGATTCCAAGCCTCGGCCGAAACGAAAGACGTGAAAGCAGGCTCCGAACGGTCAACAACGTGAAGGCAGACTGTCTGGAAGCACTAGGATCCGTGTGGGGTAGTTTAGCCACACCCCGACAGGATGGTCCTGGCACCAAACATCTCCTTCCGGATGATGGGAAGAGTCCCCGAAACAAGCCACAACCACGCACAACGGTTTTCTGGCCAGGCTGACTGGTGTCCCGTTCCTATGTTTTTGGTTTTCGGTTTGTCCTAAGGGTGACAGTACCAGTGGGGACCCCTGATCCGGAAATGGTGATCTCATGTGATCTCTTTAAGTTCACTCAGCCTCCAACCTACTAGCGATGGCCTCCAACAACAGCACAAAGTCGTTTGCCATTAGTTAAGTTTCTCCAAAAAATCTAGGAACCAAACCATGAGTTCAAGCGCTTCTTCAAGGAAGCTTCCCCTGCCACCCTGCCGGATCAGTCTTCGGAAGCGCTGTTCGTCTCTGCCATACCGCCAACCCCGCCCCGCCGACTGGGGCCGGCGGGCTTTCCTGCCGGGCGAAATTCAGCCGCTCCAACGTCAGCATGTCCGGCTCACAAATCGACACACTGGTAGCGGGCCTCGGAACCGTCGCGTCTTCGCTCTCGGCGAGCGATACGGGTCGCCTGCCGTCGCCTTGCGCGTACCGGCGGTGTCCCGGGTGTGGCCACATCGTGTTCCGCTGTCGTGGCCACTTCGGATGGCTTCAACCCAGGACTACAGAGGTGAAGCGTCCAAACCAAATGGTACTTGTTACCGAAAGCTTATGAGATTTTTCACCAGCCAGAGATTGGAAATCCAATGAATCAATTGTTTGCTGTTTTTTGGTTGTTTTTTTGCTGTTTGCATTTGCTGTTTTTTTGCTATCGTTATTTTGTTGCTATTTTTTTGGCATTTTGCATTTGCCTTTTTTTGGTGTTTTTTGGGTATTGTGGATTTGCTGCCTGACGCCTTTGCTGAGGAAAAGTGTTGTATTGTTATTGAGTTGTGGCTTTGGTGGGTGATTTCAACAGTACGTCCTTTGTGTTTGTTGCTAGTTGCCTTAAAGCGCGTTTGCATCCATGTGGTTTGTTCTTTATCTTTGCTCTTCAGTGTAAAGAACATCTGCGAAGGCAACTCTCATTTCGGAGACATTGGGACAGGCTGCCGCCCGGTCATCCCAGACAACCGAAACAACAGGACCTGCATTGGTTGGAAGGATTAGATTAGACAAAAGGAGGGATGGCCAAAACAACGCTTGGTGGAATTGGGGTTCCCTTTGGGAATGGCATGGGGGATGGCAAATTGGAATGGCAAAAAAATGGTAAAAAAATGGCAAATCCTCGAGTTTTTGCCATTTTTTTGCTATTCCTGCAATTTGGTGGTTTACAGAGATTTGCCATTTTTTGCAACTTCAAAACTTTGGTTGTTTTGGTTGTCAAACAGTGTGCCATTCTTTTGCCATTCTAGATTTTCAGGATGAGTCAACACCACAGGGGATGCCAGGCAGAGTTTTTGCTTTATGTGGACGGCTGGTGTTGGGTATTCCTGGTAGTAGGGCCACTGCATAGGGCAACTAAGAACTACTACTGAGCATACATTGCATCTATATACAAGGGGGCTACAGGATTATTGCCATAAAGAAAAAGCGTTGCCACATGTTCTACTCATGATTTTTACATGCTCTTGCCAATGCTCTTGGCCTCACTGGTACAAGTGTGAGAACTCTGCGCTGCTGCAAGCGCTGCAAGCAGGGGAACCAAAAAAAGAAAAACATTGAAAAAACACCGTAAAAAACAGCAAACAAACAGCAAAACAGAACGCCAAAAAAACAGCAAAAAAAGAAACAGCAAAAACAATGGGAAATCAGAATGCGTAAAAAACAGCAAAAAAATGCGAAACAATTCAACTGGAGCTGACCCAGTCTGTGGCTATAAACATCTCATAACCGAAAGCCTCAAGGTCGGGCACTGGAGGGATCTTCTTTTTCGGCCCTGGTGCTTGAAACGCGTGGGGCCCTACTTCAGGCCAGTGTAAGCCTGTGGGTCCAGTATATCTCAACCAGGCTACCGCAGCATTCGTTCTTCAATCAGTTTGAACTTCACGTTTGCCCCAAAAAGGGAGATTGGTCGGAAAGAACCTGAAGTCATCACAGTTCAGCTGGAAAGAAAGGCCCTCCTTTCTTCAAAGTCTTCAAGGCCTTTCGGCGCCCGTCAAAGCGTTGTGCGTTTGCCGCGTGCGAAATCGGCTCCCCGGCACGGCCGAAGGACCTTCCCCTGGAATGGGAGACTCGTGTTCATCGTCCATGGTGCCTCAGAGAAAACGACGGACCGGGGAAGACATCCAGACATCGCAAAGGCCAAACAGACCTGACATCTCGCAATTCCAGTTGGCTCAACGGCGGAAGAGTCCCTCTGCGCCTTCCGAAGCTTTGAATCAAACCCAAAAGCGTCCCTCAACGTCCCCTTCTACTTGTCCCAAAAACCAGTGCCAAGCGTGCGGCGCTTTGGCAAAGCAAAAGCTTCCTCAGTGAAAGCGGACTGAGAAAAGCGAAGCATCCTCCCCAGAAGAGTTGAAGAATGTCGAAGATATCTCTTCTCTTGTAGGACAAGTTAAAAAGACCGTCTTCCACTCGACCTCCAGATTCGCCCTTGAAGACCTCTTCCCACAGCTCGATCTCCGGCTCTAAGGTCAGGGCACCTTGAGAAAATCTATGGGTCGGATTAACCTTTTGGTTCGACCTCTTCGGTGTTTGAGCCAAACCGAGGCGTGGCGCGCGCTCAACGGTGTTGGACCGTCCCGAGCAAGCAAGCAGCAACCGCCGAACAGCAAGCTTGCAAAGCATCCACGCTTGCATCTATCCTACGACAAGCACCATTAGAGTCACTTCAAAGTTCCATCTGTGCCAGGTCACTTCGAATGTCTAGAGCTGGTGATTCTCTTTTCAATGGGCCATGGATATGCAATGGATGTGCCTCATTCGCATGTTGCCCCACAAAGGCTCCTTCACCGTGAGGCTTCCTGACGTCAGCGAAACAGGAAGAACATCCCCGTTTCTCCCTGATGGGGAAGAACGCCAGGAGCCCCTAGTAGCTTCTTGTTCATAGTAGAACGGCCAGGAGCCCCTAGTAGCTTCTTGTTCCTAGCATGACACGGCCTTTGTTGCAATCTTTGCAGTGAAAATCTTTGTGCAATGAGAACGTCTGACGTCTGAGACCAAGGCTTTTTGAAGAAGCCACCAGAAGTGGTGCTCCTCGGGCCCAAGAGAGCACGACTTAGTGGAGACCATCGCTAGTAACAAGAAGCTACGAACGTAGCTCCTGGCCTTACTACTATAGTAACAAGGGAGCTAAGGGCATCGCTACTAGTAACAAGGACGCCTCCTACATAGGAGAGCGCGAGGCCATCTGCATGTTTCAGCGGCACCTCACCGAGCTCACACGGCGTCACACGCCTCGGAGTTGCGTCCAAGTCCCTGACATGGCCGTGGCTGCAGGTGTCCCTGCAAGGAACATATCCCGGCTCGACCTGGCTTTGTTGGGCGTTTGGCCGTGAAAAAAACACACGAAACAGAAGAAAGAAGAAACACATGAAAACAGCATGGAAACAGTAAGTGTTGGATTTTTTTGTTAGGCTTTTGATTCCTCCAGCTTGACCGGGGTCCGGAGGTACCGAGGACGCGGCCTAATGGTCTCGTCCAATCGGTGACTCCCTTCCTTCTGCCGGGACTTGACCTCGCGTGGTGGACCGGTCCGGCCGATGGCTACCAAGCCTGAGGGTGTCCATCCTTTCACACATACACTGTGAAGACTCCTCGTGGGAGAACCTCACCCAGTACACAGCTTGTCAACAGTTGAAACAGGCCGTTTTCGCCGGACATGTGCAGTGTCTCCATGGGCACAGACGAAGACGAACCTCGCACCCACGACCATCCCCATGGCCAGCTGAGGCCCCCCACCGCCGCCATCTTGCGTCGAATGTGGTGCTCGCCCAAATCCAAGGCTTCCTCACCCTCGGTTTGTTCCGTGCTCTTCTATTCTCTTCACGAAGACCAGGCCGCCGTTCCCAGAACACCAGGTGTAATTGCGACGTTTTGTTAATTGGATAGCGTCCTTTTGTTACTAAGTAGTAATGGCAGGAGCTACGTTCGTAGCTTCTTGTTACTACTAGCGCTGGCCTCCAACCTAGTAGTGTCCTTGCTCCGTTCGTAGCGATGCCCCGTTCGTAGCGTCGAAATGAGACCCGGGGCGGCGGTGATCTGAGGCTCCGGTCGGTCGCCATCTCTAGGAGATCTTGGTCGACCAAGGGGAGAATCGGTTTCCTGACGAAGGTGCGCTGCGCTCCCCAGCCGAGGCGCCAGGATGCGAAGGTGGGGGAACTCGGTTCTGTCTGGTTCCTCCAATGTTTGTTCTTCAGGTCTTTCCAATTCTTTTTGGCACATCCTCTATAGAGTCGTGACCTGATCAACTGCAGAACAGAGCTTCACAAGACGTGTTGCCCTTAACTCAGTGCTCTTCCTGTCTTAACTCAGCCGAGAAAGCTAAGAATTTCCACCTGCAAACAAGAAACGACTTGGGAAGGCGCCTCAAAAGAGAGCGAGGAAGCTGCTGAACAAAATCGAGATTCTCGGACGTCAACAAAAACCAAACAAGCCATCTTCATGAAGTTCTACTCATCTCATAGGATTGTACGTCCGGATGATCACTTCGCAAAGACTCCACAAACATCGCTTGGGACGGTCAACACCCTTCAACGCAAGAAACCGCTGTGCCTGGAGCGAGGGACAAACGGGGTCCCCCTGCCCCCTTTTCAGCTTGAACCAAGCTGCACTGCACGAGACAGGGCTCTCAGGGAAGGAGACTCCCAAAAGAACAGCTTCATCCTGAAACACCAGTCATAAATGACGCTTTCTGCTTGTCAGGGATTTGGACGAAAAGACGAGCTTGGATGGGGGAGACGGACCGACCGCAGAGGCCCTTGGGCCTTGTGACGCCGCTTTCTTTCAAGTCCGGACACACGGGACCGATGTTTTCCCCCTAAGGGACCCCAAAAGCCCGTTTGGCCAAGGGTTGTGTAGACATTAGGTCACTTCGTAGACGTTGAGGGTGCCAAGGGTGATCCGAATTACGCCGGGTTCGCGATCGAAAGATCGGATCCTAGAACTTCTGCTACAGCCAAAAGCCTTCAAGTCAGGCTGGTGCTTCCCTCTTGCCTTGAAATTGTGAAAGGTCGAAAGAAGCAACTACTTCGCTCCGAAATGCCAGTGGCCTCCATTTCGCTCCGAAAACCACCTTTTTGGGCATCATGCCGCTCTCCATGCACAAGCTTTCAGCTGTGCCCAAACGCGTGGGGTTTGAACCCCATTCATAGCAAAAGAGGCTAGTGCTCATTCATGCTTTCTAGAAGAAGGCTGCTGACTTCTTGTGCTTCTTTTGGCTTCGTCGTTTCCATGCGTTTCCATCTGAATCTGAAAACCGTCTCTGACCGTCTCAGGTCGATCTTCGACTCTCGTCGATGGCTTCAGAGGTCGTCCCAGTCCTTGGTGCCGGTCCCGGTCCATCGGGTTCGGTGTTCGGTCTGACACCGGTGACCGCGACGGCGCGACTGCAGCCCAGCATCAATCGGCTCTTCCATCATGGGTACCATGCCCTGCGCAGTTCGCTCAGAGCAAGTCTTCAAGTGACATTCACCATTCACTCTTTCATGTGGTGATACATATATACTGACATATGACAATATGACCGGGTACGACCAGAAACTGGAGGGACACGGTATATCTGGCTGATCTCCGACATTTGCGAGTCTCAGAGTCGCTTCAAATGGCGCTTCTGCGGCTGAAGAGAACCCTTGGGCAACTTTGGGCACGTGGGTTTCCCAGTCGAAGTGACTGCAAAGGCACTGCAAATGTCATGAAAAGTGCAGCGATCCACAGTCAGATTCATAGCGATGGCCTCCAAACCTACTAGCGATGGCCTCCAAATCTACTAGCGATGGCCGATGGCCTCCAAACCTACTAGCGATGGCTTCCAACCTATGTGAGGATGTTGTCCCAGATCCATGTTTGGAAAAACCTCTATAGGCCCATCGAGTTCCGACCATCTCCCTTTTGCCCCCGACCGGGCGCGTAACCCGAGGCTCTCACGGGTGGGAAGTGCTCTGGAGGACCCATGAACTCCTGACGAGCAAAGCAGTGCTCCGTCTTCCTAGTAGCGTTCTTGTTACTAGTAGTAAGAATGCTCCGTTCGTAGCGATGCCCTTTGTTACTAGTAGCGAACATTGCTCCTAGTAGTAAGGCCAGGAGCCCCGAACGTAGCGTCCTTGCTCCTAGGAGCGATGCCAGGAGCCCCTAGTAGCGTTCTTGTTCCTAGTAGTAAGGCCAGGAGAGCCTAGTAGCTATGGTAGTTCGAAAGATACAACCCAAGTTCTTGGTATCTGTGGATGGCTATTTTCTTTTTTAATTGATGCCAATCTGTGCCTTTGTTCCTCTCAATTCCATCAATGCAGTGCAAAATCTTTCTACAGGAGAGACCATGAGCTGACAACAAAGGACTTTCTCGTGAACCACCTGAAAGTCTAGATGCTGACAAGTCACTGCCCTGTTCTTTTCTCAATCCCCCAAGCAACTGATCAGCCCCACCAAGCGACAGCCATGTTCTTCAGAGGGAAAAACCACCAACAAACCATGCCATCATTTCTCATCCTTCATCTATCCGCGCCTCCGAAACCGTCCAAACAACGTCTGTTTCGCGTCTCCGGAGGCATATGAGGAGGACCGTGCGGCAGGTGCGGAAGGAAGGGCATCGGCGGCTTGGCCAAAGCGCTGCTGTCTTTGTCTTTGTCTTTGTCTTTCTTCTTCTTCTTTTTCTTTTCACCTCAGTGGTTGACGGAAAAAGACTGGCCGGTGACGGCAGTGGTTTTCGCGGAGAAGAAGTGACGAACGGCACGCTAAACAGCGGCTGCCGCCGGTAGCGCCACCCCGAACTGCCTCGTCGAAGCTCTAAGTTTCCACCGAACATGGGCCTTCCCACATGTGTTTAAGATGAAGATCAAAAGCACACCAAGTCACTAGATAGAGAGAGGTACACCTTAAGTCACTAGAGACACACGAGACACACTCCACGCGTTGCCGAAGGTTCGCATGCATTCGCCGACTGGCAAATGAATACCTTCTTGCGCACGAGTTGCTCCGACTGGAAGAGCTTCGTGATCTCGATCGGCTCTTCCGGCCTGCGCGGCGCGACGGTCTCTCCGGTGGCGGGTCGTTTCAGCCCCAACGCCGCCGCCTTTGCGTTCGGGGTTGGACCTCGGCGTGCGGACAGGCGCGGACAGGCGGGCGTGAAAAAGCCCGCGCCTGACACTTCAAACTGTGGGGTTTGCAGAAAAATGGACAAAGATCATTTGATTGTCCTAATGAGATTTCCTTTAAGTTGGTGTTGTTTATTTTCTCTTTTGCGCCGGTTGTTTGCTCCAAAAGCTGCTGATGTGCAGGTGTTCTTGGTCAACCCAAGCTTAGCGCTTTTGGGGAACGGTCCGAGTTTTCAGTTCTCAAGCCACCCGCAATCTACGCTTGAACATCTTCTTAGTTCCAAGGCCTCAAGGCCTTTCAGTTCATCATCTTCCAAACTACCGCAAGTGTTGTGTTCAGTTCATGGGTGAACGTCATGTCATCTCATGTCATAAAGGATATCGTTTTCTTTTTTCACTTCCAAACGAGCTGCCCGGGCGGAGGCGGAGGCATGCCGGGTGGAACTCCGTTCCTGGGCAAACAGGCTGTACGAGACGGAGGCTCCAGTCGAGACGACTGGACGCGGTGTCCACCGGTGAAGCTTCTCAGGGGAAACGAACACGAACGTTTCTTCATCAGGGTTTGCTTACAACAATCTGACAAGCGTTTTCTTGCACGTTGGCAACATGCTGATCTTGTGAGGAGTGGATGGTGTTGATGGTAGTGATGACAATCAAATCGACCTTTGATAGCGACTTGTCTGCAAAGAGGAAAGGACAGCCCAGCTGTGTTGCCGAGCAGTGACGAAGGGTTGTCCAAGCAAACACTCAGGTACGGCATGAGATGAATTGATTTCCCTTCGTCTTGGCCATCAAATCCTGTGGGTTTTGGAACCCCCCACGAAGGGGCCCAGGCTTATAGACAGCTCGTCTAGGCTCGCTCGGCATCACAAGCTAAGGCACGGGAAGGGCGGCATGTGACCTGACGCGGACCCCGGCAGGCCGCCCGAAGACCGGGGGTGGGTCGAAGGTGAGCTCGTTGGGAGCTCGGAGCAACACAGATCAATGGAAGCTTGGACTTGGACACCCTCAAGAACAATGCAAAACATTCGGTTTTCTTCTGATTTCTGGTGAACAGTGTCTTCTTTGGGGACAAAACCAACAGCGCCTTGTTCACAGCTTAAAGCTGCCATGCACGTGTGGGCTCATACGGGCTCGTCGGTAGGTACCTACCGACCCTGTCTTGGCAGCGTCTAGGGCTCTTTTCTTCGACAGTATCCGGATTCCAAGAGCGTCCCTAAATGGTCAGCATGGTTACCTGATCCACCTTTCCTTCCCTTCATGTTCATGCAAAGGCACTACCCCTCAAAAAGCAAAATTCCAACTCTAGACTCTAGACATTCTCATGGAGATAGACAATTCAGATTTTGTTGGAACAAGGACGCTACTAGGAACAAGTGCATCGCCACTAGGAGCAAGGGCCTTACTAGTAGTAACAAGAAGCTAACGTAGAAACAAGAATTAAATTCCATCCATTCCACATCAGATTTTCTTTCTTGCTTCCGGACCTTTTGTGCGTCCCGGCGGCCTGGTGGCATGGTGGGTGGCATGGTGGGTGGCATTCCGGGTGGCCTCAGGCTCGTCGAAGGCTTCCGAAAGGCTTCCAACGGCGTTTCTTTTTGCAAATCGGGATTGTTACGTAGCACAGCTCAAAGGAATCACTGCTTCACCTGTGGTTCTGTCTGCCTAGAACCAATTCTGTAAACGTTTTCATCTAAATGATCATTCAAGATTTTCTGCAAATCTTCCCTTTTCGTGCTGTCGACATGTGGGATGATCCATCAGCACATCATGTCGCACATCATCACGCACGAGGGGAAGGTGATTTCAAACCAACTGAATTGCGATATGGGCAAATCATGGGCAAATCGGTGCTGGGGCAAGAGCATTCCAGGCATTGGCACCATACCTGGCCTTGGAATGGCAAGAAAGCGATACAACGCAGTCACGGTGTTTGAAGGGGAACAGTGGACACCCAGACTAATCATGCTCCGCACTCCTTGAGACTACGGAAAGCAACTCTGAAGTTTAAGAAACCTTGAACTGACATCCTTAAAACGCTTAAAAAAAATAAATGGTGCCATCAGATGGCATCAGGTATCATCCCTCATCACTTTGCCTTCTTTTTCTCCCCAGGAATCCTGGTCGGATCCAAAGACGAGCGGATCTTTCACTGGAGCGGAGCCCCCCCCGCCGCAGTTGTTCGCCGCTCGAAGTCGACCTCGTTCTCGCAGTGTTTTCCAGAGAACGGCTGGACGACCGAGGACTTCCGTCTTTCTGGGGGCTCCCTCGGAGGCATGGTCATCATTCCAGGTGGCCTTGGCTCACGCTCAGGGCCGGCTAGTGGTGGCGCAGGCGATTTCGGCCGAAATCGTCCATCCACCTCCGAAAAAAGGGGGGTGAACGAAGGGATCGATCGCATCCGGCATCATGTAGACGTAGACCACTTGACAGAGGTCAAGGTCTTGCCTTCTTTGCGCCAGAGGACAAATGTCTTTCCACAGGCGTGACTCGCAGGCCGAACATGAGAACGGGACCACAGTCAGACGTGCCGCTGCTGAAAGAGGGCAATACCGGGCACTGTGGGGACCGTGGGGAGGGGAAGCGGGAGGGGTCAAGGAGACCGTCTGATTGCCTGAGCGGCCATACCCACTTTCAGATGGACTCAATCACCAGATGACCACACGTGATGGATTTTGGCATCACGTGGAATCCCAGCCGAGCAAACAGTTTGGAAATGCCAGTGGCTTACTACGATCCATCTGCTTTTGCTCAGGTCGTCTTGAAGTAAAGACTCGTGGTCTTCAACCTCATGGGAAGCCACCGCGACGTGCGTGAAGCAACCCTTCCCATGGACCGTGCGGCATGCGTTTGACCGGTTCCCAGTGAGGCATCCTGGACCGGTCGGCTCTTCGTGAGCAGGTTCCAACCTCTCCCCACTCCGCCCATCTCCACTTCTTCGCCCAGTTGCGGTGGCATGCCTGTCGCGTTGGCATCCGTTTTCGATCCGAAGACACAACCCAAACGCACCGCCGAAGACGAGGCGTTCGCGGCGGCGCGGTGGTGGCGCGAGCGGAGAAGAGCGAGCGAGCGGCTCGCGCCTGGCATGGTGGCCGGAAAGAAGGGCGGCGCAGCAGCTCCCGGTGGAGGAGGACCACCTGGTGCGATTTGGTTCCGTGGATGTCGGTCTTGGAATGGGCAGGAGATTGGAAGGTTTGGGACGTGGTAGTGAAGTCACATGTTGCTGTTGGTGGGGGGTCCTACTTGTGCTACCACCAGTTTGGGTGGTGGAACATCCTGAAGTTGCAAACCCTTCTCACTGCATCTCACTGCCAGTGTCTTCTGAGTGCCCAACTCTGACCTGAAATGTCCTCAAACCAAAGAAATGACCTGTGGAAACCCAACGACTGGCACCCCCGACGGGAGACGTTCCAGACTTCTTTCCTCCCCAACGTCCTGAACTCATCGCATTCCCGTGCCCGACGTCGTGCCCGACGGTGTCCCCACCTGGGAAGGGCATCGCAGTTCCACCGCCAGGACCTCGCAACCTGCGGAAGCTCCGGATCCTCACCGACCGATCGGCCTAAAATGCATATGCCTCTCGGGCGAGTCGTTGGGAAAAGGCGCCGCGCGTGGCGTGTCTGGAAAAAGGCCGATTGCGCGAAGGTTTTCTTCTCTTTGTTTGGTTGGTTTGCGAAGCTGGAGGTTGGACTCTCAACACCTCCCCCAGCATATGAAAAACACGGCTTGCTGCATGCTGTCAACGTCCGTGGCCTGGCAGCATCGGCGGCTTCTTCCGGTGTCATCGCTGGATCTTTCACCAAACCCAGCCTCAGTCAGATTGGCGCAACACAGTGTTCTTGGTGCGCACGCGCGCACCTACTACCACCACCTACAACAACCCTTATGGGTACCAATATAAAGCGGGGTCACAAGAAAAATATGAATTTGCAACACTTTCTGGTACCTTGTGGATGGATTTCGACCACTGCTCGTCAACGATACGTAATTCATTTAACATGTCGCTAAAGTACGGTACACTCCATACACTGAGCTGGAGGCTCACTGCGTGCGAAGCTCACATCTTTGATAATGAGGGGAAAAGCCTCACCCACGCGCGGCTTTTCCACAGATGTGTCTCTACACAGGTCTCCAACGATGCAGATCGAGGAGTCAGTCATATCAGGGTCCAGAACTGCCCATGGTAGGAACAGCAAGCACAATCAAGCACATGTTTACCTTGAGGAGTTTTTTCTCACCATTTTCAAGACTCCTTTGACTTCGCAGGGTCACAGGGATCGACCCCAAACCTGCCCGAAGCCATGTCACATCGCAGGGCGCCCCCCGACGATCCGCCCGCCGCGCTCTTCGGCCTCTCCAATTTGCGCTTTGGAGCCAAAGATCTGGGCGGCCGGTCCGCTGGTGAAGATCGAGGACGAGGCTGCATAAAAAGCATCAAACGAAGAAGAGGGCACGCCACAACAACCCGACCTAACAACAAGACCTATAGGAACAGCTCCAAAATGGAGCTCGTGCCAGGGTTTTAACGCATGTTCTTCATCTGTCTTCGCCAATCGCTGTGTGGTCGCTGTGTGGTTGCTGTGCTCGTTGGTGTTTTCTGTCTTGACCTGGCCTGGATCATTCGCTCTGCATGTCCTTGATCTTTGTTCTCCGTTCTTTCGACCTGACGAGCAGAGCGAGCGAAAGCGCAGGTTGCTTGCTGGCGCTGCGCGCATGGCGACAGCGAGCGTAAGCGCGAGGAGTGAAGGGGAATTCGAAGGGAAAAGGAGTCGGTGTATACCTAAGATGGTGGGATCCTGTTGGTAAGTAATTGTTCATATCGATACCAGCACCTCCAACAGGTCACCAATTGAGACCTGTTGGAAGGTGCTGGTATATATCCTTTGGATTAAGAAGACATGGAGACCACAGAGATGATCCAACTTTCTTTTCCTCCAAAGCTTCTTCTTCTTCCTCCAAAAGCACCCATGGACGCCGTCTTTGGGAAAGTTCTCAGGAGAGTTCTCAGTGCCACTCAGATGTTCCCAGAGACGAACCAGTGAAAAACCTGGTCCACCTCTTCAACAGCGATTCCATCGACCGTGAACCGCGCAGAACGCCCGCCGCGCCCCTCTCACAAACTCGCCCGCGGAGTGGGATGGCGCATTGGGCGCCTGGATTTCGGCGCCCGTGCGCTGCATGATCTCCCGCACCGTCTCACCGCCACGGCCGATGACCTTCCCGGCCTGCGGCGTGGAGGTGGACCGAAGCGAAGCAGTGTTCAGATCCTGAAAATTCGGGGTATGGTTGGGGTCACCCGTGGATGTCTTTGACCTCTTGGATCCTCTTCGTAGAGGTGCACATTTCCGGTGCTTCATCAGGCAGGTTGCAAAGTTTAAAGGCAGACTGCACGACCTGTCTGGGACTGCCATAGCTTGGTCAGTTGGGATGGTTGAAACGGGGGGGCGCCGTCTTCTTGCAGTCACGGCAGTCACGGTGGCACGACCTGTCTGCTCTCTGAGACGAACGGGGTTGCCCCCTCCACTTGGGAGCATAACGAACACATCGTTCCTGTGGTTCCTAAACGCGCGCGCGAGCTCCAGGCCTCTTTCCCCAGCACCCAAAGCTTGAAGCCTTCCTTTCCTGCACGTCACGCGTGGCCAGTGGCCGTTCTCGGTCGTTTCGGAGTTCGACACCCGAAGGATCCCGAAGGAACGGGTCTCGAAAAAGCGCCGAACGGTTCGCTACGATGCTCTGGTATACCTCATTCATCACTTCGTGGGTTGGCTTTCAGAGACCTGAACAATAACACGTAAAACCACGACAAACCACCAGCGGGTCGACCGGAAACCGCCCCGACGTCGCGCCTGCGCCTGCAGGAGCTCCGCCACCCGGGCCCATCTGAAGGCACGACGAGACACGGCACGGCACGGTGTGGTTTTCGCAGCGGCTTTTCCAAAATCCAACACTCTGTGTTTTTCATATACTCCGGAGTTTTCTCACATGGATCCTGAGATACATAATGGTATCCGTAAAAAGAGGACTGGCGCCTCTTCTATAGTATTCTAGCCAGTTCACAACACTGTCAACTTCGGCCCGGACTCTTCCAGAAGCATTGACTCAAAGAATACTCAAACCCCTTCAACCCCTTCAGCCAGGAATTCCGGACCGGTCGGCCATCATCTTTGAGGACGGTTCCATCTGCCAGCTTGCAGTGGCTCACCTGAAAGGTCATCGCTCTTAGGGTGGAGGCCATTGCTTTGGAGGCCATCGCTAGGCTAGTAGGTTGGAGGCCATCGCTATTAGCTTGGATTGCTATGTGATTGCTATTGCTATTAGTTTGAAGAAAGATTTGCAGTGGCTCACCTGGACATCCCAGTGGCTCACCGTGCTTCCCTTTCCCGAAAAAACAAACACGATGAGACGGTGCCGGACACCGACACCGCCCTTTTCGATACGTTCCTTGCGGTCCACGGCCGGCCTTTGACCCAGGGGAACTGACATGGCTCACGTGGCACGACTGGTGGCCGCACGGCCCTGTTCGCTCGTCGCTTCGCTCCGGAACCCCCTCGTTTCACCGCGAGTTCCGTTCGGTCGGCCTCTTGAAGCACCAGCTCTTTGGCACGTTCGATGCACTCGGGGCGCCCCGAAATGGTGAGCCGACCCTGCCGAGTGAGGTGGAGAGAGTCCGAACAATCCGCGCCGTGCGAGGGTCTGTGGGAGAGGGAGCGTTGGCGAACGTGAGCGGTTTGGCGTTGGTGGGGGGTTTGGTGGTTTCTTACTTGACTCTCTTCCTGGAAATGGGGGGGGACGGTCGTTTTGGTGCCTTGATGTGCGAAGAATATGGAAGACGAGTGGACAGATCTATAGTTCTATGGCCTTTCAAAAGCGGAAGACTTCTCCACGCCCCTGCTCTTGACAAACATGTACAAGCTTGGCTCCCAACTTTGAGTGAAAAGGACCCCACTTGTCTTAATGGTTTTTTGGAGAGATGATTACAGTTTCTTTTTCTCCGGTTTTCACTCCTCCAAAAACCGCGGTTTCCAGTCGATGTTGTTCCCCATCACGACAGGTCCCGCCCCTCTGCATCCGTCCTCCGTCCTCCGTTCCGAGGTCCTTCGTTTGAAAAACGCCTCGCCTCCCCCTTGTCGATTTCAAGCCGAGCGCGGGACTCGTCCTGGCGGCACGAAGTGGCACAAAGTAGGATCTCTCGAATCCATGGCTAATCCAATCTATTCTGTTTTAGGTTTCTATAGATTGGGACAAATCCCTCGAATTCATGTCTCTTCATATACATCCAAGACATGGTCTTTTTGATGCTTTTTGGTCGTGTCCGAAGGTGGGACACCTCCCTGCATCACCAATGGGGACACGAGATTTCTCTCCACTAGCTCTTCCTTCAGCAGTCCTCCAGTCTTCGAATCGTCTCACCACCACGACCAAGCACACGGCCAACCTGAAAGCAGGGAGACGCCGCAGCACAGGAGGATTCCAAGACCCCTCTGTCACCGTCTGTCACCTTTTTTTGGCGCACTCAAGAGTCTTATTTTGAGGGGTCGTTCTTTTTCACAGGGAGGGTTCCCCACCATTCATGCGTGGGGACGCTAAAGAGCCGGGACACCGCATGCTACCTTTCGACCGGTCGTCGCAATTTGGCACCGAAGAAAACAAGAACGGCCTCATTGCAGCTGATCTGAAGTATCAATGCGTCTCCTGCTCCCGGAGCAGGCACCGACGCACCATCCTTCAACACCTCGCGAGATTGTGACTGAGAGGACGGGGGTGTGGTGGCTGGGCGAAGATGTTTGTTTAGATATATAATTCCGAATTCATTAATTCCCCAATAGCCATGCTATGGGGTCTTGCAAAACTAATAGGCGGACGGGCGCCGTCGGGTCACCGTCAGAGCTGGTGGGCGGATGGTGTCCCGGTCATGTTTTGATGGCGTCCGGGTCATGTGATGCTGGTGTCCCGGTCATGTTTTGATGGTGTCCCGGTCATGTTTTGATGGTGTCCCGGTCATGTGATGGTGTCCCGGTCATGTTGTGATGGTGTCCCGGTCATGTTTTGATGGTGTCCCGGTCGTGTTGTGACGGTGTCCCGGTCATGTTTTGATGGTGTCCCGATCATGTGATGGTGGCGCGGTCATGTTGTGATGGTGTCCCGATCATGTTTTGATTGTGTCCCAGTCATGTTGTGATGGTGTCCCGGTCCTGTTTTGATGGTGTCCCGGTCATGTTGTGATGGTGTCCCGGTGATGTTTTGATGATGTTGTGACGGTGTCCCGGTCATGTTTTGATGGTGTCCCGATAATGTGATGGTGGCGCGGTCATGTTGTGATGGTGTCCCGATCATGTTTTGATTATGTCCCAGTCATGTGATGGTGTCCCGGTCCTGTTTTGATGGTGTCCCGGTCATGTTTTGATGGTGTCCCGGTCATGTTGTGATGGTGTCCCGGTCATGTGATTGTGTCCCGGTCATGTTGTGATGGTGTCCCGGTGATGTTTTGATGGTGTCCCGGTCGTGTTGTGACGGTGTCCCGGTCATGTTTTGATGGTGTCCCGATCATGTGATGGTGGCGCGGTCATGTTGTGATGGTGTCCCGATCATGTTTTGATTGTCCTAGTCATGTTGTGACGGTGTCTCGGTCATGTTTTGATGGTGCCCTGGTCATTTTGTGATGGTGTCCCGGTTATGTGATGATGGTGTTCAAGGAAGAGATGGTCGATGTGTTGAAAACAACAGTTGTTTCCAGATTTTTCTTTTTGTCTCGGTTTGTATCTTGCTATTGGGGTCTCTAGCTGGGCTAATTAATTGTTGCTTCTATTTCTTCGGATTTAGATATATAATTATCAACAGTATGAACATGTATGAACTCTAAGTTCCGGGTATCACATCACTTTCTTTCGCATCACATCATCATGGTATCGTTCTGTTGGGCCACCCTTCCCCTTGCGAACGAAGACACCTTTCCGTCTTCATCCCGCACGTAGTTGGCCACATCGAGGATCTGAGAGAGCCACTGGAGCGAGTCGCTCGCATTCGGGGCGCACTGAAGATGATATGGTTCACAACCGGTCAAGCAAACAACCGGTCTCTCAAAAGAAACCTTCTTTCGCTGTTTTCAAAGAAGAGAGGCATCAAGGATCATTTAGGAATAGATGAACAACAACGAGCTATACGTATAAGGTTTCGTGGACACTCCCCTTTTTCTGTAGAGGAAACATCGTCTTCCAGGTCGTCGTATTTAGGCCGGGTAACTTCTCCTCATCGATTCCCAAGCAAGGAATGACTGCTGACCCCAAAAAGCTTTCAGTTGCCCCACGAAGAAACATCTGCAAGGGGATTTTCTGATAGGGAAAAGGTGTACTCAAAACGAGTCGAACAACAAAAAAGGCACTGCCTTCTTTTCCAAATATCACCGTCAAAACTCCTCCTGCACCGACGTGAAACACACGTCGACCTGTCTGGCTCAGCACGCGACCCTCTCGAGTGCCGCCCTTCTCTGTCGAGCATTCCCAATGATGTCGACCCAGCGTTCCTGTGTCCAAGTTGCACATTTTTACAAGGCACTCTAAATATCTAGAAGAGCATGTCAGAGATTGTCAGACATATACAAGCCAGAGTCTTCGGTTCTGTTCGGAGATCATCTGCTCTTTCAACTGGAATTGAAGGGGGAACCCCCTTGAAGTTTAAACACAAAAAGCGGGTTGATTTCGGCTTTCTCCTCGAATTCTCTTCCAAAAAACGTTCCACCAACCCTTCGCGGATCGGATCGCCTACTGTCCGAGCGTTTCTCTGCACCTTGCGGTCAGAATCCATATCCTCCTCCCTTTGGATCTTGATCGATGCCTGGAAGGAACCCGTGAGAGGAAGATCCCTCAAAGCCCAAGTCGATGCCTCTGGGCCGCCTCGAAGCGGAAAACCATGCCCCCTTCGAAGCACATACATGAAGAATGATACAATCATCATCGGTCCCCAAATGCATGGCTTGTGGATGGACTTCACCAACCCACTTCCATCTTGCTGGTTCGACCTCCGCCACAGTCCATCTGCCTGTCTGTCCCACTCCATTCCCCCTGTTGTTTTCTCCAAACGACCTCCGATCATAGCCCGGAGCAGGGACTTTGCCCCGAAGATCGACCTTTTCCAACTTTCAAACTGACTCATTCTCCGTAAAGCTTCCGGTCAGCTTTCGACTCGGCTTTCAGGGACACTTGCGACGCACTTGCAGCGCCAAGCTCGACCTCAGTGGAAGAGACAAGAAACAGAAAGAACTTCTCCAAAGGCTCCAAAAGCTCGTGATTTTTAAATCTGATTAATGGTTCTTGTCATGTCCTTTTCAACCTCTGTCAGACCTACGAGGTCCCGGTCCCAACATTTGGACCTCACTGCCGAGGCCAAGGCCACCAGCTTCTTCGTGACGTTTTGCCGACCCACACCGATGCTGCTCGCCCACATTCGGACCTCAGGAACCCCACCGGAGCGGACGAAGCGGGAGGGTTTGGACAACGAGTGGGAACGGTCCGATGACATCGAAGATCCTCCGGGCCCACCATCTGCGCTTGGGAAGCGCAACATGTTCGACCAACACGTCGAGGCCTGCGCGTTGGCGCTCGTGCTCGGAGTGTTTTTTTTCGCCCAACCCTCTCCCCCGGTCAGAGTGGACCCGCTCCCTCGACTGACCGCGACCGACGGTCGTTTTGAGAGACATCCCATACTTCCCGCCGGCCGGCCCCCGCCGCCGGCAGTTTTGCACGGTCCAAAAACACCGCTTGATCACCAGAGATGAAAGTGGTAAAACCTTGGGCTTTTTGTAAAACCCTCAGCTTATCTCATCTTCCAAATGCAACAGTGCTCCCCCCTCGTCCACCAGATTCCTAGCGTTCGTTGTGCTCATGCAACGGGCGAATCCTCCACGTCCTGCGCCGAGGCACAGCGTCCTGCACCGGTTCCCCACTCGCTTCGATGAGGTCCTTTTGGAACTCCGGGTGCATCACCAACCTTGGACTCCCAGCCAAGCGTGAAGAAGCTCTGGAGCTAATTCGGATCTGTTGTTCAAAGAGAGCACCGCATGTTTTTTTGGAGAAAGCATACTTGAGGCCAAGGGGGGGGGCGAAAGCTAGCGCTCCAGAATGGGAAAGTGGAGGGCAGCGAGGTAGGAAAAAACACGGCGCTCTTTTTGGAGGCAGGGGTGAAGAGTCCTTTATATGTGGCTCTTTGCCCGGATCCTCCTGCGAGAGAAGAGAGAGAAGAGAGACGGAAAGACGAGAGACAGAGAGGAGAGAGAGAGAGAGAGA